TGTGATGAAGATGCAATATAGAATCGAGAGCGTTTCAAAACTGTATTTTAGTTGGTATTGCTTTCAATGTGGAATTTTTGGGTTTTAAAATCTATGGTTTAATGTGATAAATGCAACCCTATATGACTGATAGTGCCCGTGAATTTACTGACAATGTAAAGTATGTTCATAGATATAAGAAAGTGACTAACTGGTACGAATTAAGGAAAGACCCAGGGCAAGCTGTATGAATGAAATATGGCCGAACTTTGCTTAGAAATGTATTTATGTTTAAATCTAAAATAAAATTACAAATTATTTTTATTACCTACTTAAATTTGTTCTATATTATTTGCAATATGTATATACGATTGTTCTGCTTTTTCTATGTGTTTAACAGAATTTGCCCAAATTTGTCTATAAGTTTGAGGAAATTGGAGTTAACACGGGGAAAAATATTGTTACGACGAATGGCAGATTTCAGTTGGTGCCAAACATGTTTAATGGGATTAAATATACAGTTGTAAGGTGGAAGCCTTAAAACTGTATGCCCTAGAGTTTTTGCATAATTATCACTGACGTATTCCTTTTGTAGGTTCAAGCTTTGTAGAACCTCAATTAATTGCTTTTTGGTATAACCTTTATGAAAATAAATGTCGTTATACATGTACTTTTGGATTGTTGCGTTTGTGTCACATGAGGAAGGGATTTTAGTCAACTGTCTACTGTGATAACTTGCATTGTCCATTACAATGACGCTATTAGGAGGAATGTTTGGAACTAGTTTGTTTTTAAACCAACTTTGAAATAAATCAGCGGTGGTGTCTTCATGGTAATCCATAGAAGAATCTTTAATATTTTTCGCAGACAGAAACTCCATTTGGAATCCAACAATCTTTAGAGCCAGCATGCAAAATAGTTATTCTTTTACCTCTTTACCTCTTTTTTGATGGCGCGTTTGTTTTACACTTATTAGTTGAGTCAACCCAAGCCTTTTCCGGGGTATCATAAGTGTCGAACCAGGTTTCATCCACGTAAATAATTTTCCTTTGTTGTTCTCTGTAAATCCTAATTTTTTCTAGATATTCTAGTCGCCATTTCTGAATTCTAAAAGATTCCATTAAAACTTGCCTTTTGTCAATAAACATTGTTTATAATTTCCTTAGTCTGAATAGAATGGTGTTTTCTACATTTGGGAGGGAGCATCTCCTGAGATACAGTAGACTCCCACAAATTTTGCATAATTCGCACACGATTCAACACACGCTGTATTACGCACGAAATAAGAATGATTACTAATAAACTTAAACTAAGTAGCAAACCAAAGAATATTAAACACAGGTAGGTATAAAATTATTTTTTTATTACGGACCACAATTTTACCTGAAATTTGAATTCCGAAACCTTAGGTAATAATCTTGTTGCATTGTATATTAATGACCCATTCAAGAGCAATTGGTCACTTTCTTACATCTGTGAACAGACCATACCTACTGTTCTGTCGTTCTGTCGATTAAGTCTACTTCCCTATCTTAGTCATATTAACTGTCTTTAACTTAACGTGATTTAACCAATAAATAATAACCTCTCATAAATCATCAGTGATTTAAGCCAATAAAATGTATTGATAAGGTAACGTCTTTGGTGAGTATTGGCAATTGATGAAAATAAATTCAGGATGCAATCGCTATATTAATAAAAACTTATTCAAATGAATTAACGAAAAACTGTTTATACAGGTTTTTATTGGGGTTCGTGCCTGTAATGTACTGGGGTCCACCAAAATAAATCCCGTTTCGAAGCTTTACTGTTGGCGTAACATACTTTTGGTGAAATCTTGTAACAACCCAACAATTTTCCTGCAATAAACAAACCTATTTTGTCAAGCTATGATAAAATGATATCATGGTCTTAGATAAGAAAATGTATTTTCCCTAGTAATATCTCACTTAAACACATCAAAGTGCATTTATTCGTCGGTTCTCCATTATTGTCGGAGATCGGTATATCTGAAAACGATTTTGTAAATTTAGGCTTTTTGTAAACTTCCTGGGCATACAATGACTTACAAAGGCTCAGCAAAATTCGTGCAGACAATACATTTTCTATTATAACTACACCAATTTAGTCAAATTGATAAAGTGCCGTCAAAAAAAGAACGGAAGAATGAATGAATCCTTTTCGCGAAGTTTTACATTTTCCAATATCGGTACGACCCACCTGCAAAACGCAAAACAATCAGTTATGAACAAATTTTCCGTCAATAGTTTAATGTTAAGCAATTGAAAATAGATATATGTGCGTTGTGAAAAAATGGTTGAAACATTTCAGTTCATTTGTGAGATATGTACCTAAGCAACAATTTTTTTGATTGATTTACTCAGCAAAGTCTTACTCTGAATAAAAATAGAGCAACTGAAAAGAACTGAAAGATTAAGTTCTAACCCACAGAATTAATGCGGAATTTCCGTCGGTTGAGTCCACGTAGAATCCGCCGAATCCGTTGGTGCACATCGGCATAGTAGATTAAATGAAGAAACCCATAAATTGCGGAGGGCGGAATCGGCCCGCCAACGGAAAAAAGTTCTCCGCTTCTTACAGCGGAGCTATCGGTCGGATGTTCAGGTTCGGATGGCGAAAACACATGGAATAGCTCAAGGGTTGTTGATAAGAATATAAAGATAGAACAAAGAAAGAAAAGCGCTGGTGGAAAATTGGTGAGTTGATGGAAGAAGAAAATTGAGAAGCTTGGACCAAGAAGGAAAAAACACGGAAGTGTCCAAATTCATTTTTTTTGGAAATGATATTTAATGAGCAATGGGGCCACCTTCAAGAGATTAGATGCTGAAGAAAAAAAAACAAGACAAACTTTACTAAAATGTCAAAATTGGTAAAAGTCACAATTTGGACCTTAAATCAAAATGTTACGTTCTCTCGACGCTCTTCTACGGAGTAGAATCATTGACATTGACAATTTAAAAAAGATTTTAAGCATTTGTGGCTATACGTCGGGATTTGGAGGATCTCGAGGATATCTAATAAATCGCTACTGAGAAAAATGAGAGAATAAACACTATAAAAACAAAAAAAATTATCCAGGCTATAAAATGCGAAACGAAAATAAATACATCTTAGATTTGCGGCATCCAGGGAAAAAATTATGACAAGAGAGACTAGGGGGGCATAGGATATCATGGTTGAAGAACTTAAGAACTTGGTTTTCGAAAATATCCAGTGAATTATTCAGAACAGCCGTAAACAAGCTCATTATGGCAAGAGTAATCGCCAATGTTTCAAAAGAAGTCGCTTGAAGAAGAAGAACTAGCTTGCATTCTATATTTGTATAGTAATGAACAGGCATTTTTCATAGAAACTTCATATAAATTCCGTACTAAGTAGTTATTATCACTATTAGTTCATCTTTTTTTAGAAATTCCTTAAGGTATATTTAATTCTAGGTAACTGTATGAATTATTTTTAAAAATTAACCTAGGAACCAGGAATTTGTTTTATAAGGAGAAGGAAAACTCACGAAAGGGGAAGCGGAATTTATTCCGCCGTGTATGGGATGGGTATGAGGGAACTAAAATAATTTATGTCCATTCCAATCGGATCATATTGTTTATTTAGCAGTTTATAAGGTCGATGGAGGATATTTCGATACCAGGAATTTGATTGAAATAATATTAGTTTAGACTTGATTGAAATTGTCAAAACTTTGTTTTCTAGTAACACACGATGTTTTTTTATTCATTTGTTTATTTGTGCAAGCAAAAACAAAATTGAAATTGAGAGAAAAGTCTAACTCTGAATAAAACAAACAATTAAAGGCGTCGAAGAAATAATTTTAGTCGATTCCAATCGGATCATAATATTTATTTAACGGTTTCTATTATTGAGAACAAGAATTTAATTGAAACAATGATACTTTGGAGTTGATATGTTTTGGAGATGGAATTACTAATCAATTAATTACTGGCAGGGAGTCAGTATAGTAAATTCAACTGAGCTGTAAAATTTAGAATTACGTCATGATTCGATTCTTGGAAAAACAGGTCAGGATTGCGAAAACCGCAACTGTCTAATGATATTACGTTTATTCCAATTTAGAAGTACAAATTACCAACTACAAATTATTACAAATCCGAAAGTAATTAAATAAATGCTTATGATAAAAGTTGATTTATTGGTTGTTGTCGAGTCGAACTTGCTGACGTTTCGCCAATCATCCAGATGAGTTTCAGCTTCAGTTAAGGTCTGAAGAAGCCAAGGAGGAATCCAGAAGTTTTGTAAATAGTAATGATTGATTGATTAATTGATATAACATAAGTTAAATTAATTAGATAATTACACTTTTCTATATATTTTTTAATTATTTTTTTTGGATTCTTTGTATACTTAGAGGTAAAGAATTGGTGCAAAATATTGTACAGAACGTTGTGAAACGGTTTTTGATAAGAAGCTAAATTCAAATATTCCTTCTTATTGGATTATTTTGTATTCGCTGTTTGCGCTTAATTTTTCCTGTCTAAATATTTTTTGATGTTTCGAAGGACTGAAGCTGACGAATATCCGATATTTCTATTTCTTTGAAAAGTATGTCTGTGGAGTAGTATCTTTTTTTACGATTCATTATTTTCAAGAACCATTTTTGCGTATTACTCAGGGCCTTTAATTCTGAGTAAGCTACTCCACCCCATCCTAAAATTCCATATGGACCCCGTACTAAGTAGGAATAAATCACTATTAATCTTTTTTTAGAAATTCCTTAAGGTATATTTAAATCTGGGTAACAACATGGAGATAGGGATTTTCCGGAATTTCTTCTGTATTAATTATTTTTAAAAGACTAAGGTATTAACCTGGGATATCCATTAAAGTATCGAAAGGTATACCACCCTGTACCCACAATTAATTTGAGGTCCGTGACAATTAGAACGTCTCCCTCCCGTCCGCGAGGAAAAACAGCGATTTGTGCGCATTCTCCGAATCATCGATCGGTCTCTTCTCGGTCAGCTGTTTTGGTGTTCTCCATATACGATATCGTTACTTCCACATAAGCCCGTTTCAATGAAGTACACATATCTCCCAAAATGATTCGAGTTTTATCAGTTTCGATTTTATTGTTGGTCTCATGCGTTTTTTCCGGCACCAATTGTCAAGCGGTTGGTAGAGTGAAACGGTCCGACATTGATTTGCAAACGTGCATCGACAACTTCAATGTACACAAGGACAAGATAATTAGGACACAGGATTCCCAAAATATGGGCGCGAAATATTTAAACGAAATCGATCTCGGATCCAGGGAGGAATGCCTCCGATTATGCTGCGAGACGGAAGATTGCGACGTGTTCGTTTTTGAAGAAAAGGTATATCGAATTTTAAGTATGTTTGATTCTATTTAATGCTGTGACATGACTAAACAGAAACAGAAAAGCTCTGTTTTTCGTCCTTTCCTTATAAACACCAGCAATCAAAGACACGAATTTGGTAATAAACAGTGCTCCATGCAAATAAAAGCAAACTAAATTGCCTACACAAACTAGTTCTATTAATTTTTTCATCGATAGCAGTGGGTAAGGTTGTACGTGCATGAGTTTCACAATGTGGAATGCAATGCATAAGAAATTCAAAATTTTATTACACAACAGGGAAAAGAAGAGCCGCCCGCGAAACATTGCCATTCTCGATCTACATTAATCCCTACTCTTAATCGCACTTCAAGTAAAAAACTTGGATTGGGATTTACGGCCCGCCGTCTCAAATTGCAACAATAAAATAACGGACTGTCCGGGCTTGTTTTTGTTAATGTTCGGTGGCACAAGGAACAAGTATTTGGTGCAATTTACTGTAAGGATCCTATCCTGTATTGTTGGATCTACAAAATCATTTGTAATTCAAAGAAAAAGTTTTCTCCACTGATATAACTAAAAGATAAAAAAGAAAACTTTAAAGATTAAACAACCATAACAATAAAAATGTAAATTGTTTGTTGATTAACGTTACAACAGAAAAGTTTTACTATGCTTTTTTTCCACGTAATTCTTATTTTTAATAAGTTTTAAGCGTTTTAAATATTGTCCAAAACATCAATATAAAGCTAACTTTCATTTGTTTATGGCATGGCAAAGATGTCGGGAAGTCATCAGGCTTTGACGGGTGATAACAACATATTGGAAATAGTAAAATACAAACTACAATATTCAGACTGCATTGTTATTTTAGGCAATTTTTTGGCAAGATTAAGATTAAATTCCTTTTTTTGGATTTTGGTATAAAAATTCAATTGAATTAAATTTTATATATCTATATTATATATTTTCTATTTCAAATAATCCTGTGTTCTTTGAATAATACCTTCGATAGGCACATACTTGCAAAACTACGACTTTCGGGAAGAGTATTATATCAGAAATGTCATTTTTGGGAGCGTTTAATGGCTCTTTCGGTTATGTGAATTTCTATTACATATTTATCGTGATTTATTTTACTTCCAGTGTTCTATGATTTTAATTATAAGACTAATAAAATTCAAAATGTGCTCAAACCAAGACTACAAAAAAAAAATGCAGAATCAAGCGTGAGCGTAACCAAATTAAATATAAAAAAAAGAGATTCAGTTCCGTGTCGGAAATTACTGGAGCATCAATTTAAGGAGGCGTAATGGTAGTAAATTGATTCTTGAAGCCGAGGGCATTTTGTGTATTTTAATTGAGTTTACGTAATTTCTAATTAAAATCGTTATTAGGTTTGTCGCTGCGGAAAATTTTTGATACCGAGGTCTTGCTTCATCCTATTGGACTTCATTCTTCTTATAAGATAGGCTTGCAATCATTACTTAACATATTGGAAACTTGTCTTAACATTTGCTTGATTATCTTTTGTAAATAGCCATAATACAAGCTGTTAAATCCTGATAACAAAGATGACAGCATTAAGCAGATCTGAGAATTGAGCCATTGGGTTAAGTCAAGTATCATTTTTTTGATACAAAATTTGTAGTTTATCTAGTAAACGCCAAATAAACCACTTATAACCAGAAACAACGCTGACATACTTCAGTGAGAACATATGTTACGGCTGGTCATCTTCAGAATGATTAATAAAAAGTTGAAATATAGAACTTTAAGTTGGCATTACTGTTTAAGATGGCGACCGATTTAACAGCTCTCAAGTGATTTATTCTCAGTTTGGTTTGGCAATTCATCTTGAATAGACTCACGCCTGAACAATGCTTGCAAATAGTGCAATTTATTAAATTATTTCGAAAATAATGGTTCTGTGCGGAATACGTATCGCGCACTACGTCCATTTTTATCGTCGACAAAATCGTCCATCAGGGCAGTTAATTCGATTAACCATGGAACGTTTTCGCACCACGTTTACTCTTATTGATAACTCGCATCTCCAGAGACGCCGTACGTTGCGTACACAAGAAGCTATTTCTGCTGTAGAGCGTAGCATTGAGGAAGACCCGAATGAGTCCATCTGCCAGCGAGCACAGGATTGGATCTGTGTCATCCACTTTATGGAAGATTTTGCCGAAGGATCTTGGCTTACGTGCTTACAAAATCCAACTCGTGCTAGAATTGAAGCCAAACGAGATTGCCGTTGTTCCAGATTTTCATAAGCGAATTTTGTTTAACGATGAAGCGCACTTCTGGTTGAATGGCTACGTCAACAAATAAAACTGCCGCATTTGGAGCGAAGCTAATCCTCAAGTGTATGTCGAAACACCGTTACATCCAGAAAAACTGACTGTTTGGTGCGCTTTATGGGCTGGTGGAATCATTGGTCCCTACTTCTTCAAAAACGATGATGGCCAGAACGTGATCGGTATAGAGCTATGATTACTACTTCTTTCATTCCTGAATTGAATAACCATGATGTCCAGGAGATGTGGTTTCAACAAAACGGCGCAACATGTCACACAGCTCGTGCCACAATCGATTTATTGAAAGACACGTTTGGTGACCGCGTAATTTCACGTTTTGGACCTGTGAATTGACCTTCAAGATCTTGTGATTTAACACCGCTACACTACTTTCTGTGGGGCTACGTAAAGTCATTGGTCTATGCGGATAAGCCACAAACGCTTGACCATTTGGAAGACAACATTCGCCTTGTTATTGCCGATATACGGCCATAAATGTTGGAAAAAGTCATCGAAAATTGGACGTCTAGATTGGACTACATCCGCACCAGCCGTGGCGGTCATATTTAAAATGTAATGCCACAATATTATCTTTCGGATAAATAAAATTCATGTCAATCGAATAATCCATCGTTGTTTTATTGCAACTTAAAGTTCTATACATCGAAAAAAAAGCACCCCTTATATCCTGTGTTCGACAGCAGTATGATAACTTTATTTTACATTTTTAACCGTCAATGGGCCAAAGTATCCTTTGAAATATTTAATATATGTAATTCTGTGCGGTCTTCGTTAAGGTTAATTCTTGTTCCGCAGAATTCCGGCAGCTGTTACCTGTTTCATTGTGGACCGCCTGAGGATTTCAAGTGCAAGTTCACGCACCACGTCAACTATTCGAGCGCGGTGTTGTCCATCAATCGGCACCTGCCCGACCTCGAGAGTCAAATTAAGTTAACCAAGCACGAACAAGACTTAACCAAGCTCAGGTACTATACCGTAAATACGCCCATTTTAATTCTCGATACGTCCAGTTCTTAGATACATAATATCTTTTTCTTAATTCGTAAAATGTCTTTATGAGAAAAAATGGTGGCGGTTCTTGGATTTCCGATAAACTAAAGATCACCCACATTTTAAGTTATTTTCATAACAGTTTATTTCATAACGTATTTTTTAATTTTTCGTTAATGAATACTAAACAGAAATTTCAATTCTTAATCTCAGAATTTTGGTTGTTAGAAATGAATTGAGAACACCTTGCTAGATTTTTCACTAATTTAGCGTAAAATATAAATCTAAGGCGTTCAAAAATAATAGCAGTAAGGAGTTGTGGAGAACACACAGTACGTTTTTTAAACAAATTTAGAACTCTATTGAAAGTTGCAACAACATAATCAACTTTATATAATGTTACTTACCTAACGATATTTTAGAGATATTATAAGGCGAAGAATAAAAAAATAAACGCCGACAAGTGCAGATAAAACTTATAACCAGAACTTCTAATTCTAAATCCAAAAAAAAGTTTGTGTTGCCGCACTTAGACTGTGAATTTCTAACTGAAATGGTCATACCATAGTGATCTTATTCTATTCAGTCTGAATATTCTGGAAACACAAATATTATATTCCGATTTATGATTTGCATTGGAACCAATTACTGATAGATCCAGATCTAGGGATTTATTTTATTCTATTAGTTTACGAATTAAATAAAATAAATCTCCCAGTCCAATGCCTGATCTTCTTTCAAGTTGCCTCCAGTCACCCTGTTTTTCCCACATCATTTCGTTGGTTAGTGTAATTTTTGTTTAATGTTGTTTATAATAAATATTATTATTTTTATTTATCCTTTAGAAAAGCTAAGTATCGCTTCCATAGCCACAAAGAGTTTGGTATAAAAACCCTTTTTTTCAAAAGGGCAGTGTGAAAACTATCAAATATTGAGTTTTGTTCTACGTTAAGTTGTTATGTGTTTTATAGTTTATATTATTATAATATATTGAATTCTGTAAAATGATGTTATGTCGTCGAAATAAGTAAATAAAGTCCAGAATTTCTTACCTTGCATAGAGATAGAAATTTCCAGATATTTTTAGCTCGTGTCTTGATATCGCTAGACAATCATATCTCAAGTGATTCGAATTTAATGACGGGGTTGATATTTTTTCGATTTGACTGGCAAAAAATTTGTAAAATCCGAAAAATGCAGGTTATGTTCACGAAACTTGCACATGTTTAAAGTTTTATCCTGCGTAGAACTTTTTTTGATACGCCAGTGCAACTTTGTGATCGGTTTTTCTAATTTTGTTATAAGCATTTAAAATCTATGTCAACTTCGAAATCAGTACGTATCTTTTTACAAAATGCTCGTGGGTCTACTCTACGATGTTTAATTGCAAATTTTGATAATTCAAAAAAGAAATAGCATTTAGTTGATTTGTTTGTAAAAAGATCTGTAGAAAGGAGATGAACCTTAGGTAGTGATTTGGATACAGTATGAACGAATTATTTAGATCTGCGGTCTCAAAATTAAGAAATGCCCTGATGATTGCCAACCTTCTTCGAAACCACTGCATTGGACAAGAAAAATATGGATCTAAGATCTCGATGAAATTATATCCAAAGGAGATGAAACAAATATCAAACAACGAACTTAAAATAAATAGTCTTAAACAAATAAATTTGAAGGGAAAACCTTTTGTCTTCCCAATCTTTTGAAATTGTCCTATAAATGTCCAGTATATTTTTTTTATTCCAGTAACCAAAGAGCTTTAGACAGAAAACTGCCTAATTAATATGTTTGTTAAGACTTTTCTCTGAATTCGCAGAAACTATATCTGCAATATCTGTATGTTAATGACAAAATTTCAAATAGAATAATTTTTACAGACGGTAGCAAAATGAAACATAAATTTAAATATACTTCAATATTTATTTTCACAAAAGAAATTTTATGATTTTGTTGTGTGTTTAGCAAGATGTTGTGTTGCACTATGTTGTCCTTTGTTTCGACGCGGAAATTTCAAAAGTAAAAAAAAAACATTTTTGCTCTTTACATTATTACATTTTGGGATTTTTGGCGGCGTACATGTATACACAAAAGATTGCTGCATGCTGTATAACTAAAAAAATGCTGCTTCTTATTAAATAAATAAAATTGTGTGTATTTCTCAGTGTGAATCAAGAAATTATAAAAGTGGCAACTCTATTCACGTGTGTTGAGAATGGATATAATGTCAATGGCTACAACGTAAAATGGGAATAAGCGTCAGCAGTGCCACTCGAAACAATAACGCCGCTCCTTTGATGATGGATTCGTGAATATTTATCGTTTGAATTCGTTTAGGTCACGTGTTGGCAAAATATTAACGTAAATATTTGTTTAAAAATGTCGATAAGGATACCTTGATACTTTTTGATATTCAGTTAGTTAAACATTTTTGATGACGCACACATAACATTTATAGTAGACGTAAAATATTTTATGAATTTTCTACGAAGCCTACTGCAAGAATAGGAACCGAAACAATTTTATAAATATGATTAGCATATAATATATGCTCTGAAAACCAAAACAAACACTGTTTACAAACAATCAAGAAAATTTTAAATGTACTAAGATTCGATTTTACGTCCGCGTTTTTCAGAAAACCAGAAGGTGAGAGCGACATTTTAAGAATGGTGCCAGTCGTTCCTGAAATGCCAAAAATCACTTCTACCTCTACTATGACGCCTGCGATAACGAAAGAGATTATACCGATGTTGACGAAAGTCGAAAAGCACGATGAAGGTAAGCCAAAATTTATTTATTTTTTTGCTAATTTTGTAATACAGTATCTGGAAAGATACAAAAACAATATATTACAGATTTTGTATCGGTACGTGAATAATATCTTAAACCACCGAATAGGACAAGGCACTAAACTAACCATCTTTATCTTTCTCTCCACTTTTGTGCATTCTTTCATGATACTCGGTGACCACAGCCATATACAGGCTGTAATTAGTATAGCGCGTCGATCAAGTATACCAATCATTAGTAACATTTCGTTTGTTAAAATGATCAAGATTTACGATTTACAATTTCCTTAAAAAAACTTCGTTGCACCGCTAATTTTGAATACTAAAGTCTATATTCTGGTCTTAAACAATTCGGTAAATGCGATAAATATTGTTCAGTTTTTGACAATATTTATATATATTACATTAAAAATAATTTTCAAAATCAGATAGGGACTAAACTAAAGATATATCAAATTTTTACAGCACTTTACAAAAATGTACCTATGGAATATTTGTTGTTGTTACTTTATTTTTTATTAGAGTGTTAAGATATCTTAATAACTAATAATATTATAATAGTATTATTTTTAATTATTAATATATATATATATATATATATATATATATATATATATATATATATATATATATATATATATATATATATATATATATATATATATATATATATATATATATATATATATATATATATATATATATATACAATCACTTAGGCGAAATGTTTTGGCCCTACTTAAAGCTTATTTCCCATTTAGACCTAACTCTTTCGATTTTTTTTAGAAATTATTAGGTTCTCTTGGCTTATTTGCATATCCCATATGCTTTGTTTTAGTTTTTTTATGATGAATATATATGATTTAAAAAATCAGTAACCTTAAACTAAAATAAAAAATACTTACCCTCATCTTCCGAAATCGCACGAAAAATTGGGTAAAATATTATTGAGGTTGAATGTGCTTTTCACAAAGAAAACTTATTTTCGCAAACTCGTACCAATTTTACAATGCCCAGTTCATATTGGTAATTGAAGTCGGTGAGATTAGATTCTATTTCACAACGAAAATATATTTTTTATGATTAATATAAATAATTTAAAAAATCAGTAGCCTTAAATAAAAAACTAAAAAATACTTATCCGAAACTGATTTTCCGAAATCAATTTGACAATGCCCAGTTCGTATTAGTAATTGAAGTCGATGAGTTTAAATGCTATTTCACAAATTGTTAATTTTTTAATTTTTATATAATGCTATGATAAAAAATCAATTTGTTAAAATTTCTCATCATCTGGTCAACATATACTACATATTAAACCCTTGAAAAACATACCGGTAACTGATAAATGTCTCTTTTAGTTTTCGAAAATAGTCCGCTTATCAAAAATAGTCTGCTTATCCGTTTCGGTGGAAAAGTATAAACAGGAGAAGTTTTGGTTATCAACAGATATACGCGGAGAATTGAAATATCATATTGCATTTTATTTAGGAATTGAGCCCCCGTAGATTTTCAAGTTGTCCGATACCTCTTTCACAATCAAGCTACTCTTATGACACCCGATATCTAAATGGAACATCTGTTACAAAAACAAAAAACATCTCCAGACCGCCACCTTTATAGGTATCTCGTTTCGACGCGATGTTTTTTTTGGACTATTCAAATACGTGGCTAGTAACACTACTTCTTTTTGGTTTGTTATTGTAAGTCTTTTTTGTTAATAAATTAACGACATCCGGACGACTGGAGATAAAATCTTTCATGTAATCGTCATCACCGGAGCGTGTCCGAAATCGCAAAACATTTAACTTTTTCACGGAAGTCCATCAAATAACCGTGAATATTCAAAATGGCTGAAAGTGCCTTAAAATTAGTTGGCTCTACGGTCAGGGTCGGTCAGTCAAAATTTTTAATGGGTGAGTATTTTTTGTTTCAGGAGAAATAAAAAACCTCTTGAGATAGTAGAGCTCTTTATGATTTCTTATTGTAATGCTTACGTTTAAAATATAAAACTTTTTATAATGGTAGACCTTAATAACATGTTCATAATGGAAACACTAAGGTTATAAACTTATAAACGGAGAGAAACGGCGGCATCAAAATCGAAAATCTCAAAATTTGAAATGTCTGTGACTCTTAGGTAAGAAAATAATATAATAATATTTAATATATATACATATATATATATATATATATATATATATATATATATATATATATATATATATATATATATATATATATATATATATATATATATATATATATATATATATATATGATGACACTATATTCCGGGATATCATCCGTTCGCTTGTTGAACTCCGACTGGAATCCTGCAGACGTTTCGCCAAAATCTCACTTGGCATCTTCAATGCTCGCGCTCCGAAAACACTTCGAACACACTTCTATAAATTCTATAAAATCAAAATGCAGCCAAAATCTCTTTTTCTCTCGTTTTTTATGTTCTAGATTTGGTTTACGTGAAAAGTCTGACTTGTAACCTTAATTAATGTAAGTTATTAGGAAAGGTTAATTTGAAAAAAACGTTTAGACCACATCACTGTTTTTGATAAAAAATAAAATAAAATTCTTATTCAACTCCTCTAACGAACACATGGATGAAAGTTGTTATTTTGGAGACTTGAAGTTAAAGTTAAGTAGCTTAATTAGGTTGCACGTTTTCTTTAAGATCCTCAGTAAATTATCAACTAATTAAAATATATTATTGTGTTATGTTATGTTATCAAATCTCAGATAATATATAACCGACTTCTCACAAGTCTGTATTCACCTTAGCCACATTTTTGTTCTTCGTACTGGTTTTGGCGGAAATGAAATTAGTTACTTTTAAACTGGTACTACTCATTAAGCTAAAAGAGAGTTTCAAACAATACCGCGCTGCAACATTAATTATGTGAAAAAAAAATGTCAGGCGCAACAATTCTGCGATTATTAAATTCTTACGGAACCTGACATCGCAAAAAGTGAAATCTTTTCGCTGGTTATGTTGGCATTCACAAGTTTCGTTTGTCTATTTCTCAATGGCAATAATGGGGTAACCTAAATTACGAAAAAATGTAGGCATAATTTTCGACCGGTAATAAGTGTATTACGTGTTTGTGTAGTCCTTTTGCCATAATAGCTGTCTTTTAACTTTGTTGCGTAGTCCTAAGTAGGTCCAATAAAATATACTAAACTATGGATAAAATAATGATTAGATTAATAATCAAAATAGTATATTATTCAACAGGTTTGATAAACGACACGAATTTGGCGCTTGTTACATAATACTCTCAATTTCTCTGAATGCGCTTGAAACATTACTGCTACTGCCATTTAAAAGTTGCACCAATCTGTAAATTCCCTATCGAAAAGCCGACATATTTGTAGTTACTTTTTATGACCGCCATAATGAGATAACGTAAAACAAGTTATACAAAAGAATTTTTGTAATCCAATTTAGTATAACCAAATATTTAATTGATTGTTGTTAACTGCAATTGAAACGGAATAAGATTTGAGGCATCTAAATTAATAATTTTAATGACAGGAAATTGACATTTGTTAACTTCCTTTCTCCGTCTTGATATTTCGGGGGACAAAACTTAGTATTTTTCAGTAAATTTTCATTAGTTCTAAGTCTTTGCCTCTCAGAATTTTTGAACTAATATTTTTCTGCTTTGATATTATAGTAATATTATTCAGTAGTTTACTATTTATGCCAGTTGGGAGGAAAGTAAGTGTAATGGAAGAAGTCCTACACAGGACAGAGGGCGAGTTACAAATTCCAATATGAAATGCCAATATGAATACTTTTTACAAAACTTCTGGATTCCTCCTGCGTCGGTTTTTGCTTAGTCGAAATTGCTGACGTTTCGCCAATCATCCTAAAACAGTCTCAGTGAAGCTCTGAAAAAACCAACAGGATGTTTGGCGAAACGTCAGCAATTCGACTCAGCAAAAACCGATGCAGGAAGGATCCAGAAGTTTTTTAAAAGGTGTTATAGTAGCCTGTGGAAGTTTCTTTGAAAAATTATCAATATGAAAGTTTAACGTTGCCTATTACTAGGTATTATGTGGCAAACCCTTTACATTACAGCTTTCAATGCCTCTGAAAAAATTGTGCAACAGAAATGACCTGTTATAAACAATCTTCTTTAATCTGACCAGTTCGTCAAAAATATATTTTACTAAAATTCGGCGCACATCAATTTTTACCCTAGTAGGGTCACTAAACAATGTGTCCTGGTAAAGGTAAAGGGAAAGGAAAAGTTTTAGAGGAGACTTAGTGCATTTCATTTTTCCAGTAAATCCAAAGCGGTCAAACTGACAGCTGCTAAAATGTGACATTGTTCAGATACTTTTTTAAGACGAGTGAGATTAAGTTTATGACATGTCTCAATTGTCTTTTATTATCTCAAAACCAGCCTTAACTTTCACAGGCTTTTGTAATACTTTTAAAAATATTCATCGCAATATTGAATTTTTCTATTTTTGAAAATGCGCAAAATTTCTAGTTCAATGATGTCTCACAAGTGCAGACAAACTTTTTTCACATTTCGTAAAGTTGGGTCTTAATTTTACATGTAAATAAGAATATATCTAAATAATAATAATAATAATAATAATAAATATGTAAATAAGAAGTATGTTTTCTCTTATCAAAATCATAAGTTCAAGAACTTCATAAGCCAGCAATTTGACGAAAGGATTATTTCATTAAATGGTCCGATATTTTGGCCTTCTAGATCCCCTGACCTTTCGCCCATGGATTTCTCCCTCTGAGATTACACAAAAAATTATGTGTATAATTTTTTGAACCTCCCGAGCTAGGGCTGTATGACAAACAGTCACGAATTGTCAGAAATATCTCGATGCAAATGTACGCCATTTTGCAAATCTGTTTAATTGTGTAATTAGATTTTTTCTACTCCCTTCTGCAAGAAATATCTAATTATACACCGATCTAGTGTGCGGAAAGTTTCATTTTACCACGTCACTGGAAATTTAACGCTGTTTCCAAAAATTGAAAAATCCAATATTGTAACCATAAGAAAAATGAAAGTTGAGGCCGGTTTCGAGATAACAAAAGACGATTGATATATGTCATACACTCTATCTTACTCGTCTTAAAAAAGTGTCTGAACAATGTCACATTTTGACAGCTGTCAGTTTGACCGCTTTGGATTTACTGGAAAAATGAAATGCACTAACTCTCCTCTAAAACTTTTCCTTTCCCTTTACCTTTACCAGGACACATTGTTTAGTGACCCTACTAGGGTAAAAATTGATGTGCGCCGAATTTTAGTAAAATCTATTTTTGACGAATTGGTCAGATTAAAGAAGATTGTTTATAACAGGTCCTTTCTGAAATGAATCTGTAGTTAATTGGTAGGTGGGTGATAAGCAACGGTTTCTAAAAGTGTATATATTATTAAAGTTATTACAGTCAAAAATAGGTAAACCTGTTTACAATTTAACCGACTTTCTCACGCCGCCTTTGCTCTCTAACCCCACGCAATAATAATCGGCAAAGAGCAAAGAGAGCAGAAACATGTTCCGCCGCCTACTCAGATTACATGTGCAAGGCAGGTTCAAGTACGTCTGCGGATATAAGAAGGTCGTTGCTTCCTGCGATCCGAAACGAAACGAACGAGAAGGAGCAAACGGCTCCCTGCTTGCTTTATATGGCAAGAACGTTCGATGCACTCCCGAAATTTTATGGACCTGTTGTTTTATTATCATTTTTTACGATTTTGGTTAATGTTTCACGTTGAGTTGTGCGTGGCAACGCGATGTTTATTGTTATGGCACCTGGAAATCATGTAAAGTTGGAGATTTTGTGTGAGTCCATAAAGATTGTTGAGAACGCTTGACGGAAAATGGGTGCGCGCATTTTAGGAAGCACTACAAAAATATTGAAAAACGAAGGACGAGGTCCTCTAGCAAGAGTGTCAGGTCATAAACCAACGAATTTCTTGAAAACTATATAGTATATAGTGTGGTAATTAAGAAGTATCCGATATTCTACAGGGTGAATTCTCAATTATTTTTAAGGCAAAAAGTTATTATAAATGGGCAGTTTAAAATACATTTATGAGATACAGTGCCCAAGTTGTAGTTTTATGTTGATCAGATTGTTCACCCCATTTTTGGTTAGTGTTCGTCTGTTAATGTTAATAACTCATGTTGATTGTAAGTTATTCTTTTTTACTTTGTACTACAAAATATCCAGTTATGCGTGGATTCAGCGTGCGTTTTCGATAGATTTTAGTCATCACAAGGTATTTTGGATAATTGTGAGTTGAGATCATCGCGTCATACGTCACTCAGTTAATGTATTCGCGCTGTTTTGCAAAAAATGGACTCAAAAACTAATGGTTGTAGAAAAGGTTTGTTATGCAACACACTGATAAACTTTTTTAGTGACTTGTTTATTAAACAAAGTCGTTACTAAAGTGTTGTTTATAAATCTTGTTGCATAATGCACAGTGTTATTTAATAAGTATCCGATATTTCACATGGTGATTTTGAAGTATTTTGATGGTAAAACGTTACTATAAACGATCAGTGTATAACTGGATAACTAATAGATGTTTGTATTTGTTGCCATTTCTCACTTTGAGTATTTGAGATTTTGTTATTTTTTAAGATGAACATGAACAAAACAACAACAAAAAATTTACTTCGAGGTAATAACTTATAAATAATATATATTAATTTGATAAACAGATCGTGTCCATTAGTAAGTTTTTAAGTCATCCTCAATGCCTGAGGAAGATTTTGAATGGGAATATCCTTTATAATGTCAAAATTATTCCCAAAATATCTTTTTTAGTTTTGAAGATATCTATATCTGTCCATAATTTTTGCTTCATAGTTTGGCGTTCAACAGTAATCGTGCTCCGGCCGTTCACATTTACTAACCACAGATAACGAAAGCGTTAAATGTTTGCCAAATTATTTGCGCTCATTGTCTCGATATTAGATTTCACCATCACTGTATTGTTGCGATGAAAAAAAAAACTTACAGCTTCATCTTTTTTCTGTTGAGCAAAAATTCCTGCTTCGTTTAGTGGAAACAACGCTGGCCTTCTCAATTTGGAGGCCATTATCAGTCCAGATCAACAAAAATACTTGGAAAACTATTCACGTTACAAAATGCACTGGTTCCACGTTTATCCGCGAAGAACGACGTTATTAGTATTCCAATCTAACGGCGAAATAGTCGGCGGTTTTTTTGAGAAAGTATGTTAATGCCTTGTATTAATATTCAAATTATAGTTTAATAACAACCCGAAGAAAAAGCAAAATCGCGCGACCGTTTAATTATGAAAATTTATACGGATCGTTTAGTTTTTGTTTCCTATAGGATGTGAGAACCGAGAGTGTCTGAAAAAGCTTTTGACACTGTGTACTCCAAGATATATGCGTTACCGTTTCTGCGACGACCGTAGGATCGCTTGACTCTCGTTTCGGCTTGGAGGGGAAACTGCAGTAATTTGCTTTTGTTAAATAGAAAAATAATCGCTAGTATGTTCTTAACTCGTCTAGAAAAAAAATTCGCCTAAAAGCAGTGTTCGATATAACGCGATCTAGTCTATTAACAGTGACCTTGATTCAATAATCCTCAAAATCAAGACGAAGACCTTACAGATTTGTTGAAAGTTTATTCTATAGTAATACAGTGGAATGGTTATTAAAATGACTTAATCCGATTAGTAAATCGTTCAGATTAGTATATTAATATGAATTTTAACACCGACATTACATATTTATTAGCTATTTGAAAATTTAATGGAATCTATTTTGACAAAACCTCCTCCTCTCGGATCAGAGACCGTGTTTATTTTTGAACTCCGAAAAGTCTTGTTGACTGAAAGCGAGATTTGCAATGACAGGTGGTTGTTGAAAGCATGCACAACATTCTCAACATTCTTTGATGTTCGCTTCAAATCTATATTGTTGTTTTCAATATAAATATTACTTCTAAAATAAACTGGCACCGAAACATTTTATTTTACAAAAAAAAGTGCCTTTAAAGAGGTTGAAATGAAAAACGTTGTTTAAATTTTTTTATATACTCCACTCAGAGCTTTTAAGCAATAACGTCACGTATAGTGACGTAATCAAAAGTGATCCGTATGTATTAGCTATATTGCTACCATTTTTAGATTCAGATTTCAAAACTGACAAACAAAATTCATGTGTAATGAACTAAGTACCGGACTTTATCTGTTATATCTATTGTATCTGTTGTATTTATTAAAAATGAAAAAATATTTGGGCTATGTAAAAATCAAAAATTTGCCTTTCTGCTTTTTTTTTGTTTTTTTTTTACGGATTTTAACAAGTCTTTTGTTCCACACTGAAAGGTTTTGTTATGTAGCATTAATTAACAGAAACTTTAGAAGTTTCCTAATTCGAAGAATATACAAAAAACGAAAATAAATGTGCTGTTTTTGTCAGTATTAAAGAAGGCAAAAAATGATTAGGCATTTATTTTTCATGTTGACTACACCGATGGAGTCAGTCAGTCAGTCAGTTTTGCCTCCCCCAATCTATGTAAAGAAATCAATTTAAATAGTCGTTTTCAAAATTTATGTGTAGTGGTTGATGAATAAAATTGAAAAAAAAAATTCAACATACGGTAACAAAAAAATCGAGTTCAATGAAGATAAAATTATGAAAAGTTGTACCAGAATAAGGTTTTTGTTGACCAAGAAGAATGTGTAAATCCTAAAAATGCAAAATCCTTTTTTTAAAAGTGTTTGTACTTTTAATTGAACGTTTGAAACACAATTATGAACGTATCTCCTTAACCAAAAAGTACTTAAGAGATCTGAATTAAGTTTCATGTTATACTACCTTCGTCGTGCAATTTCCACAGTAAATTGAAGCCTAAATCCTCGACTTGATTTTAATTTTGCAAATGTGTTATATATTATACTGAGCTATCAATTTAGGCACGAAAACAGTCCGAAGTAATAATGTGAAATAAAATATTTTGTTGCAGAACGAAAATGCAGCCGAAACCAGTTCGAATGTCGTTCGACTGGCGAATGCATTGCCATCTACAACGCCTGCGACGGTATACCTCAGTGTGCCGACGCTAGCGACGAAGCCATAGAGCTAGGTTGTCCCGCCATGGAAGCCGTAGCCGCCCCGACTCCGGCTACCACGCCTCCAAGGAAGACGGTGGCACCACTTATGCAGCAACAGGGGCAGACTCACAGAGAAACGCAACAAGTGCAGGCAGGTTACGCAAGTGGAAACGCTGACGTAAGTATTCTAATTCGTATTTGTTTGGAAAGGGGCTTTAACATCGATGGTATTTTGATGTTTGTGAACTCGACTAGGCTCGCGACAGAGTGGGGAGTAAAAAAAAGGTATTACAATATGAGAAATTTGGAAATAGTAATGGATACGGAAATATTTACCAAGCGGTAAAATAAAATAAATTAAAAACTTTGCTTTTTCACTCAGGAGTCAAAACTAGATCCGTACTAAGACTCACCAGCGCACCATAGCCTGATATACAGTAAATAGTAATTTGTATTTTTAATATTTAACGATTCGTGAATAACATTTCTATTTCGATGCTAATAAACTTGTCTGATGGATTTAATAAATGCAGTAATGTTTGGAATTGGTTAGTTTTGGTGCCTGTCTAAAGCGATGTACAATTAAATTAAATAAAGACAATGGAATTTCGGATTTTTTAAAATTTCAACACTGAAACATTTAAAGAAACTTCACAATTAAGTAATATGAACCCCAGGAAATTCCAGATTTCTGAAATTTACCAAAATATATCGGATATAATGCCAATGTATTAAAACTAAAAAAAAATGCATTTCGACGTGGTGAACTATACAAAAATAAATAAGTATTACTTAAAATTCGATACGAATCCATAATTTGGACGGGTGAATCTAACTCGTTGGATTTTTTTTTATTGGCAAATAAATCGAAGTAGGTAATTATCTAGGTTCAGCGATCTCACCCATCCAGCATCAACGTCTCTTTAAGCTGTTGGTTTCTTAGATTGTGGTAAGAGAAAACATCAAACATTTTGGCTAGATTTTGTTAAAATTGATATGATTGGATTAGCTCACCAAATTGAGTTCCATTTTGATTTTTCTCATTTTTGCAACTTCATAGTTATCTTTTCCTGTTGTATTCCCAGCAAATATTGTTCTTTCAAAAGAGATTTGTGATATATGTTTCAAATGTTTTTGTATTTAGTAAAATGTGTTTTTCAAATTTACTCACCAGACTGGTCTCAACTAATTTCCTATACCGCATTCAATGTTTTAGTTCCATAATGGTAGTTAATATAGGGTTAATCTATTCAATTACCGATTTATACGTTTATTAACATACAACATATTTCTACTGCCTGTGCATAAAAAGCACAGCGGGAGTCTCTTGGACTTCGCTCTCTGTATGATATTCACCATCCACGGCGACGAGGATAATCTCGTGGCTTTTACACGCGTTGAAGTTGTCAAGAATCATGTAATCTTCAGACGTTTCGGGAGGGGTGTCGGTGTATTTCTTGTCACCTTTTATGCGGTACTTCACGTAGAAGTGTTCACCGGGGTTGTGATCGACGTCGGGGATCCATTTGATCAGTGTTTTGACCAAACAAGGATCTTCGGCCGTAACCTGCAACAATACACACAACAAAAATAATAAAGTCACTAACTATTTACACACTACTCTTGACCATACGCCCTATTAACAATTTATCTAAGGTTTATTTTTGTCAGTTCACTATTTTCTAATACATTTATTCTTTTTTAATTACTTCAAATTTCGCAAGCTACTGATGTTCATTCTTGGAAGTAGTGTGACGATGTGATATTTAGTGTTATCTTGGCCGTGCTACATTTAAATGTTCAAACCGTGCTCATTCAGTCATTTCTCCGCTACATTTAAACTTGATCCATTATGCCGCAGGTCTTCGCTCCCTATATAGTACTTTTTTCTTGTAGAATTTTTGCAGTTCGTTGGGATCAATTAATTGGGGTAGTATTATCGGTGGTGCTCAGCTAGTTGGGAAATCAATGGTAGTATCGTCTCTTTTAAACACATGAACTCTCTTCGAACACCTCCATGATATGGAAATGCCTTCTTACGGGGCAGCTTCCTGTAGGGATTGCTACCAGCGTGCTACTAAGCCGGAAACCTATTTTTGATGGTGAGGAATAGAGGATCCCGCAATTAGGACAATTGACTTGATTGAAATCGGGGTTTGTCAACTCTGTTCATTCTTCATTAGAAGAAAATTGTGAGAAATTTGAATTTATAGCTAACTAACAAAACCTTATTTAGTTAAATTAAATATTATGTTAATAATTTAATAATTATTAATTATTTAATAGAAAAAATTCCAAAAATCAAAATGCACTTAAAAATATCATTATGGGTACTAACCCAAACTAACTAAACCTATGGAGTTTATCAAGCTTTTATAACGTTCTTCTTCCATTGTGCTTACTTAAAATAATGTAAATCTGTCTTATTTGTTATGTGCAGCTGGCTAACGTAAACACACAAAACAAATTAAACTCATCGAGCACCTAATGCGGCTTCTATGTGATTCCAGAAACGCAAAATTAGCGTGACCAAAATCGATTTGCTAATTTAAGTATGTTTTTTATGCACATTTTGAGTCGATAAATTCGTCTCGATTTCAGCGCTGATTCTTGTGCTCTTAATACCTACATGAACAGGTAGAATTCCACCAGTCTTATTAATGTTTCTCGACTTTCAAGTAGTACTCTCGATCTCAGCCTTACGAAGGCAAAGCCTTGGATAGCTTGTTGAGCTTCGCAACATCGTATAAATTTTTTGGAATACCCTGGGATAGATCCCCAAAGGCTATGAGAACTACAATATATTCCAGCTGCTGTGTCTGTTCCATTTCGGACCAAGCGCGTGAGGCATAACAATAATTACTAATCATTTTAATATTTTCTCACGTATAGAATAGTCCTTTGTAGAGATCCTGTGCCTCTTCCTAGATAGGACATATGATTCGCGCCTCACGCACACAGCAGTTGTGTGCAGCGGCCCTTATTTTCTCACTACCTACACTCACAAAAATAATACGTTTTAAAAAATACAAGAAATCACCTTGCAATAAATCCACTTTCTTGTACAATTCAACTAATAAAAATATAACATTTTAGATATAATAAATATTTTGATATTGATTTGTTTATAAATTATTAGCTTGGTCACTTTAAAATATCGAGGAATACAATTATGTTTAAAACAAATTATTATTCGTTTATTACAAAAGGACATATTTCCGTTCTCTAAGATAGCTACTTTAATCAAACTGGAACGTTTATATTTATATTAATATATCAAACCTTTTGATAAATACACGGTGTTGTCAAAACCATTGTCATGTGAATATATATAATTTCATGAAAATCTGAACTTTTAGTTCTTATTTATTTTCATCAACTAAAACTACCTAAGTTCAACCATTGTAGTATATATATACACATCATATATGAAATGTAGAAAAAAATCTGCTCGTTTTATTTTAAATTAATATATTTAAACTGTTGGTTTTTATTTCTTTTCTTTAATTTATAAATCTTTCACTAAACCGTAAACATATACTAATATATTAATTTAGTCGGGACAAATTTAATTCCAATGAAGATACTATATTTTATGAGACAACCTGTTACATTAATATTGCATTGAATGAAACTAAGAAATTGGTGTCGAGTACGTAAAATTGATTTTCGGTTTGTGGTAAAAGGTTCCAGTCAAGAGTTTGATAAGAAATTGGAGTTTCTACTCTAAGGATAGCGTTAACATGAAAAAATGGTTTTTCAACACAATTTATACTGATGGCCTCTTCGCCATCAGTCATCGCGAATATATTTCTGGAAGCTTTTGAGAAGAAAGCTCTCGACACCCTTCATCTAAAACCAAAATTATGGAAACGCTACGTCGATGATACTTTTGTTATTTGGCCTCATGGTAAAGAAACCCTAGTAGATTTTCTTAGACAGTTAAACTCTATACACCCTAACATGCGTTTTTCCAATTTAGTTGGAAACTAATAATAGAACCGTTTCTTAGATATTCTTATCAATAGAAAATCAGACTCAACATCCATTGTTTTTACAGAAAACCTACACACACAGACCGATACCTTAATGCATGGTCACATCACCATTCGGCCCAAAAATCATCGGTTATCAAGTCTCTTGTTTACAGAGCCTTAAAACTCAGCTCGAGTCACTGAACCCAGAATTAAAACACCTTACCTCTGCTCTTCACTCTAATAGTTTCCACATTAAAGATATTAGGCGTTCGATCAAAAAAATACACTTCACCACAACCTTCCAATAGCAAATAGATTTACCACACGTCCAAAAATCTCTCAACATCTTCGGTCCGTCAAAGACAAAACTCCATTTGAGATGCCAGGAGGGTACAGCATTCCATGCTTATGCGGCAAAGAATACATTGGAGAGACCGGACGAAAAATATCAACTAGACTCAAAGAACACGAAAGAGCCTTAGGACTAAGATAAATAAACTCATCAGCTGTTGCCGAACACACTCATGAAACCGGATATAATATGTTATTTGATAAAACTAAAATTCTTGCATGTAATCAGTTCTTCTACCAACGAAAAATCCGAGAGTCTATAGAAATGTATAAACAACCTAACAATATTAACCACGACTCAGGTCTCTACCTGCCACCAATATGGGAATCAGTCATCCGAGACGGTGTTTATGCCCTTAATTTAGCTCCGCCCCCCTCAAACAATATATAAGCAGGTACAGAGTAAAATACGAGCCAGCTTCAGTGAAGCTCTGAAGAAGCCAACAGAATGATTGGCGAAACGTCAGTAAGTTCGACTTAGCAAAACCGACGCAGGAGGAATCCAGAAGTTTTGTAAAAAGTAGTTGTTGGTTTCAAGGAGACATTATAGAATCATATAGTGACTTATTGATTTATTAAAAAGCAGCAATGAAACAAAATCATATTTAATTTTGATCAAATCATTAGCGTTTTTTTTTTAAATTTTACAACATTTTTTCTCTAAGCGTACATAGAATCACGCTTATAACGGTGTTGTTATGTAACGTTTGTGTTCCTGATTTAATTCAAAAGAAAAAAAAGAAATAAGAAAATAAAGCGTACCACTTGCATATCTTCTGGAGGTCTAGTCGGTTTGGGAGTGATAATTTTCCCCGCCGTGTTGTTAAAGAGGTAAAAATCGTCGTCAGAATCGTCAAAGTCGACGTTCGTTTGAGGTACGTATGGGTACCTGGGTTTCGAGCACTCGTTGTCGAAGTATTCGTCAAAGCTTCGCGCTTTGGGGTAATTAATTTTGTATTTGAACGACGGCATCGACGGTGGATAGGGGACGTGCTCTTCAATTTCGACTATGAGGCTGTTTCTGTAAAACAAGTTACGAAGCCGAGTGCAAATTTAACTCTGAATGCTTACCGTTCACCTTCACCAGCGCAATTTACGGCCGCGATCTCGATTTGATACTTTAATCCCTCCTTTAGGCCAGTTAATTTGGCCTGTACGTTGTCAGCACCTTGTATAAATTCAGTAACCGTAGTTTTTGTGTCCAGTCCGTATTCGACTGCCTCGCTACAGTACAGATTGTAGCCCAAGAGTATGCCGTTCGGGTGGGTAGGTTTGCTCCATTGCAACAGTACGGAACTAGATCCGAGTTGATTTTGTTCGAACAAATACGGCAATCCGGGTTCTGAAAGAGTTTTCACAACGCAACTGAAATAATTTTTCATCAATCTCGGCCTAGAAGATGTTGAGATACAGTGTGAGCCTCTAACTTGGAATAAAATCAGTAAATCAAAGAAAGTTGTTTTTCTGAAATATACGTCCTTGTTTTTTTAAAATTGTGCTCTTTTTGATGGCATACGAAATTTCAAATCTTTATTTCTTCTCATTTAAAATATGGTTAACACACATTTTCTAATTCAAAAAAATGAATTCAAACTAACCATTTAATATAAACGTTTATTTATCAGAAAACCAGTATAGTGTAACCTCACTTGTTATGATACACACTCCACACACTCAGTTTTATAATTACTTTTTATTGAAAATTGTCAAATATGGTTTCCATATTGCAAATTAGATAAAGTGACTTACATATAAAACTACCACTCTGTCAAAATGTGTGTACAGAGTGTTTCCTAACCTCGTTGTATACGATATTAATTCCTTATATACCGTTTATCCGATTGCAAAATTGATAGCAGTATTTCAAGTGATGGGGGCCTAATTTACTAGCAATAGATTAAGTTATTATTATTAAGTCCATTGGTGTCTAGGAAATCATCTTCACATATCCAATTAAATGAACCTTCGTATACCGAACCCTCATGTCTGAATGTCTTTTTTATTGTTGAGATATGGGCTCTGAAAACACTCAACAAATTTACCTGCCCGCTTCTCTAGGAGTTGAGACCTATTCATCATTTAGTTGTAATTTTGTAAACTGTTTTTTCGGGTAATTTGCCGAATTAGCGGTAGCTAAATATTATTGCAATTATTTTTGGTCGTTTAGCAACGACTAAGAAAATATGATTCCTCGTACATTCCTACAGTCAATTAGTCTATTAAGCCATTTGATTTGTCAATTTTGTAGTTGTACATAGAAAACACATTTTTGTCAAAAGTGGCCAAAATAATTTTTTTGTTCATTCATTCATTGACGTATTGTAACGAACTGAGCATTTGCTTTTATTTTAAGCAAGCGTTAATACTTAAATATTTTGAGTATCCAACAATCCATCAAAATATGTTCGTCCCTTAAACAATAGAATTATCATGGTAAGAAAGGGATTGTTTCTATTTGAAATTTAAAAGAATTTAAAAAAAATAACTTGACAAATGCTTCCAAACGTTTCTCATGAATTCAATTTTACGTCGACTGTTAGCAGCCCAGATTTGCATTGGGAAAATCAATTCCAACAGAATAATGTTTACAGATAATAAGTTTGTCGGCAACTGCAAGTTTCAATTTAATAAAAAAAATTGAATATAAGCTTGCAAACAACAAACCTATTATGCTTTTTACAAAACTTCTGGATTCCTCATGTGTCGGTTTTTGCTTAGTCGAAATTGCTGACGTTGGCTCTTCAGAGCTTGACTGAAACTAAGCTATTATCTTCATTCGGGTTTAAAGGCCGTCGTCGATTGGAATTACTTCCTAACGTTTCGCTAGCACGAGTGGCGAGCTTCTTCAGAGGTCCTTCCATCTCCGATGTTGGACGTAGTGGAAGGACCTCTGAAGAAGCTCGCCACTCGTGCTAGCGAAACGTTAGGAAGTAATTCCAATCGACGACGGCCTTTAAACCCGAATGAAGATAATAGCTTATCAACGGGCCGCGAAAGCCTTAACCAATTGACTGAAACTGTTTTAGGAATCCAGAAGGTTTGCAAAAAGCATTACAGTAGCCTGTGGAAGTTTCTATGAAAAAAAAAACAAAACGTAAAATTTTATATCTAGATTTACTAGAAAATTTGACAAGCTGTTTATAAAAATTAGAAAAAACACTGTAACCAACTTTCTGGGCAATAATTAAGCGGCATTTACGAAATGAAATATATTAATAACAAATGAAATTGAAGTGCAGCACAATATATATATAATTTTAGATTACTTTTTTCAAAACTTCTGGATTCCTCCTGTGTTGGTTTTTGCTGAGTCGAACTTGCTAACTTTTCGCCAATCATTCTGTTGGCTTCTTCATAGCTTGACTGAAACTGGCTCGTATTTTATTCTAACTAACTGCTGATGAGTTTATTTGTCTTAGTCTTAAGGCTCCTTCATGTCCCTTGAGCCTAGTTGATATTTTTCGTCCGATCTCTCCAATGTATTCTTTGCCGCATATGCATGGAATGCTGTAAACTCCTGGTTGATGTTGAGAGATTTTTGGACAAGTGGTAAAACTGCCACTGTAGTCCTTCCTTATATTCAAAAATGTCACTGACCACATATCAAAAGTTCTAAAGAAATATAACGTCAAAACCAGATTTACCACTTGTCCAAAAATCTCTCGACCTCTTCAATCTGTCAAAGACAAAATCCAATTTGAGTTACCAGGAATTTACAGCATTCCATGCATATGCGGCAAAGAATACATTGGCGAGACCGGAAGAAAAATATCAACTAGACTCAAAGAACATGAAGGAGCCTTAAGACTAAGACAAATAAACTCATCAGCAGTTGACAAACACGATCACGAAACCGGACATCAAATTTTATTCGATAACACTAAAATTCTTGCATGTAATCAATTAATTATTAATTATTGCCCAGAAAGTTGGTTACAGTGTTTTTTATAATTTTTATAAACACCTTGTCTAATTTTCTAGTAAATCTAGATACCGAATTTTACGTTATCAAGTTTTCTTATAACTAATAGGTTTGTTGTTTGCAAGCTTATATTCAAAATTTTTTATGAAATTGAAACAATCATTAACCGCCCCTGTTTTATGCAGTTGCCAATTAACTTGCCGAGAAACTGTCAATATTATTATATTGAAATTGATTTTCCCAATAGTTGATCTCTTTGCTTTTCCATGTGAGTAAGGACATTACAAATTTGAAGCCAACAGACTCAGCAAAACTCAGCAAAAACCGACGCAGGAGGTACCCAGAAGTTTTGTAAAAAGTATTACAGTAGCCTGTGTAAGTTAGGTTACTTAGCAATGCGCGTAACAATAAGCTACTAGAAATATTTGAAAATATGGATCAAGTAAGTGACAAGGCATCGAACTAAGATTTTAGAGGTGGATAATGGCTAATCCGGAGGAGGGAAAAAATTGTTGTCAGTTTTTTTTTTATTAACAACAAATTTTTTCTACAAAATAGGTACGTAGTGGGGTAATTACACGATTACCTCCCCTAAAAAGTTACAGAGCAAAAATATAATATCTAAGTAGCTCACTCGTGCGATACGTACAATTAAATGTAGCTGCGGATAAGACTTACCAGTTTGAGGAGCATCAAAACTGATTGCCGCGCTTCTCGGGCCAACATATTTATCATTTCTAACCGCCACCGTGATAAAATTCTTGGAATATGGAAAAAACTGCACAGCAGTTTTCTGTATTTCGGGTGGTATAGCGTAAACCTGACTAAGGCCACCATTCCAGACACGAACTATATAACCTCTGAACGTTCCCCTCACAGAATCAGGCGACACCGGTTCCCACTTGATGATGGCGTCTCTGTCGTCAAAGTTGAGAAGAGTTAGGTTTTCCGGAGCTTGCAAGGGGATTAACTCTCCTGGAACAGAACGATATAAATAATTCTGTCCAAGCGAGAAACTACTTTCAATCATAATCATTTTCTTAAATTAGAGATTTATGGAAATTCTGGAACCATATAATCATTAGATAATACAGTGCGATAAAAATTGATTCACGCCAGGCGGCATTGATATTTTCGTAAAGAAAGTGTTGTTGATTTGATTTGCACACACTTAACTCGTATTCCCAGAATACATAACGAGATCTAGGTACATTTTGAGAAAATACAGCTGCAAATAACCCAAAGTCATTAGTTAATTGGTTAATAAGATTTTAAATCTCCCGCATTCGCATATTGAATGGACCTTCTCAAAAAAAATTTCATATTTGCTTTACAAGGTCTTGTATTATCTGCATATCCAGAGCCTTCATTTCTCTAGTAGCTAATATGACTGGAACCGATAATATTTGTATTGAAATGTGACAAAAGTAATAATTTAATTTTAGTTAATTAAATTTATTTTTTTGATTTGTTGACAAGTAGCGGATATTTAGATGCAAAATCCTCCAACTTTCTGTTTTTTTTTTTAGTTTTCAAATTTTCACTTTTGAAAAATACAATGAGTCCGATTTCAAATTGTGATAAAATTTTTAAATACCGTCGAGACAATAAAAATAAATGTATAAAATGTAGAATATATGCAATACAAATAATATTTACTTTACTCTTTAGAACAAAATTATTAATAAACACACGGGCTAGATTTATTGCAAATAGTTCGTGCTGAGTCAATATGTATCATCGAATCGATTGATAATCTAGGTTGAACGGATATAATATATATGGATGCGATCAAATAGATAAATAAATTTTATTATTATAAGTTCATAATGTTAGCATAATCTACTAAATGTTTTTTGTTTTTTAAGACAGAAATCAATGCAGAAATGAAAAACATAAAAACAATAATGGATATTAATATTAATTCACTAAAGCTGTAGGTACAAGTAACCTCACGAATCTATGATCCTATCTTTGGTTATACAAGGAGCCTGGTATACTATATTCATTAAAAATTAACACTATTTAGCATATTTTGCATTTTTGGCATTTGATAGAAAATGTTAAAGGAAAACATTGCAAGTGAAAAGCTATAGCGAATCGATCCAAAACTAAATGTTATATTCGACTTTAAAAACAACTTGAGCAAGATAATGGCGACTTTAACGATCAAAAAGTTTAGTGTGGACCATAATCGTGAATAAGCCTAAACTCCTAAACTTCGTCCTAATCACGGAAAGTCCTAAGGAACAGTCACAATGGTTTCAGTGCTATAGTGGTATACTTCGACCAGAAATATAGTGCTTTTACAACGGACGCCGTGAGTAACTTTGCCTACTCCAAAACCGCAGCCTCTTATTGAACACTTTGTCGAGAAGACCCTTACCCGTAATCATTCTACGTCCATCCTAGGAATTTATCTACCTACACTAACAAGCGGGATATAAGTATGATTTCAATCTTTTTCGCCGAGCAATTCTTGAAACATGTACATAAAAAAATTAGTACAAAGTAACAATTTATTACGTTATATGTCACTTGTTTTTATTGCTGCTCCTACTTCCCCTTCTGAATTTCTTATTAAATTGTAGTAAACATTCAAAACAATTTGTTTGCCATCCGAAGACAAATGGATCTGTTTTTTATTTGCTGAGGTAGTTCGTCTTCTAAATTGTCATTAGGTTCGACTACCATCTCGACTTCGTCTTCAAATTCTGCGTTGTTTTCCAAGTTCCAGAGTTCCCCTAATAGGGGAACATCTGTTTCATTCCACGGTCTCCAAATTTAGTGTTAAAAAACCTTCAATAAAGGTTTAATTGCAAGATTCTAATAAATATTTCTCTGTATTCTTATGACGTATCTACGCGAATATAACCTACAGTCTTAAAAAAGACTGACAGATATACAAGAAAAAAATGATTATTTTCAAAAGTGTACAGGGACTTACCCTTACTCTTTGAACTATCCAGTGAAAACAGCCTTGCAGGGTCAAAGCTCGAGAATCAGGTACATAAATACATACTTACTGGAAGGGTCACCTTCGTAATATATACGAACATATTTCAATTTAGATTAAACTCTTAAGAACAATACATATCACCTGATAAACGCTTCTACCTATTTGAAAATACCCCGCAGCATTATTGCTTAATCAAATTTAAAACGGTCCATTTATGTTTCAAATAAAAATTTCAAGTTTCTACAAATATTACATCTGTTGAGATGGGTTATACCACGATCTGCGGTCAAGGTACTGTAAAATATTTCTAACGTCAAACCAATAAATGCACTATATTTTTGGTCGTACAATACCAGTTTGTCGAAACACATACAACAATAATCTGTTTAAATTTGGTGACGTCATTTTAACTAAACCTTCGAAAAAATATCCGTCGTAAAATTTACACACAGAGATATCAGAATAACCAAAAACATTTTTAGAAACGGACAGAAATTCACACATCACGCAGTCGCACTATGCCACACCGTTAGGCAACTTCACAAACATTACGACCGGGTCCTGCTCGGCTCAAAATTAACTTTACAAAAAAAATCTGTATAATTTTCTGAATGCCAAATCATTCTCTGACCAGGGCAACAGAGGATGCGTCAGATATTTTCCGATTTCATTTTCGGCGCGCCCAAAATGTGATTTTCGTGATCAATATAAAAAACGGCCAAAATCTGAACCTATGTCATCGGCCTGGGTGGCAGGGAAGCAGAAGCGCTGAACAGATTTCAATAATTATTATAGACGTAATTCTTTACGTATGTCATAGTAGTTGAGGACACTTTTATAATTCGGGTAATTTTTAGGAGCGCGTATCAAAATTATTTTTCCATTGTGAATCGATAAATTTAATTTTTGGTTTGCTTCAAGTAGGAAAACAGAACCATGCGCTGACTGGCGATTCCTAAGTAATACAAACACAATAATATACTGAGTATATTGATTTAAAGGAAGCCATAAGTGCGATTTTGGATTAGGAGAGCATAGACTTGTGCAGTAAAATGTTTGGTGCGGCCTGGATTTGGTCGAGGTAGTTATATAGTACTACGGCTTCCTTGTCTAATTTTTTACGATAGGGCATTGCGCGTAGTTCTTTCTACGTAAGTGTTCAAATTGATGAAAATAATGTTGGCACTTTACCGCAGAAACTGAAATGTATTTTGGTGCAAAACATTTTTGATAAATTTCCGCAGAGATGGAAAATGTGTTGGTTTTGGCTAGTTTGCTTCTCGTGATTTAAAAAAAATCGCGAACCGCGTAAAACTTAACAATGAATGAAAGGTAAGTAGTATTTTATTTTACTCCATATTCAACGTATAAATAAATAAATAATGTCAACTATTGCATCAGATGCCACAAGTACCATTTTGTAACAAGGAAACATAAGAGCAAGCACTAACATACTTTTCCGCCATGCGCTGCCACATGAATAATTTTAGAAAATAAAAACACACACGGACTTGCGTGTATTTTATATACACACGGAGGATGTCACAAGTACGGTTTTGGTACAGGAGAGCAGAAGTGGTGTGGTTAATATATCTACACGTCGGTACTCCATCATTCTGTTATCAACGTATAGTGAGTTTCGTAAAGGCTGCAAAGGTTTGCAACAATAATTAATATATAATATATAATATAATATAATATATGTTATATATAGGGTGTATTATAAATATAATGTTGTTTCTCCGCATCGCTTAATTTTGAATATACAGGAAGTTAAAAAAATATATATATAAGAAAAGTGATGTTTCTTAATTTTTATTGAAGCTGCTTTAGATATTTTGCAGACTGTTTGGTATAGGAACTGAATATTTTTATCAAGAAAAAAAAATGGTACCCCACTGTTTTTTTCAAAAATAAATACCATTTTTATAATCCACTTGTTGATAAAAATGACCTCTTGACTTTTTGTTGTGCCATCAACCCTTTCCAACGAGAAAAATAAAAGGCATTTTACATATGCGAAAATCGCTAGATGCTTATGATCTTAAAAAGCGACCAGAGAGCGCTGTAAATGGCCTGTATGAAATTGAAAATAACAATATTTTTCAACAATGTTTGTGCCACGACATAAGGGTACAATCCATTCTAAACCTATCCATAAAATAATCTAAGCAAAATAACCAAAAAAAAGAAGAGATTTTAATAATGTAATTTATTTTTGAAAAAATCAGAGGTATACTATTTTTTATTTTTTGAAAAAAATAGTCGTGTACTATTCTTTTCGATAAAAATATTTAATGTTAGGCTTACCCTGATGCCATTGGTAAAAATAGAAAAATAATTTTCTATAATTTCTATACACTGGGCCCCTACCAAATTTCAGCAGTTTCAGTAAAATTGAGGAAAACCCTTTTTTTGTTTCAGGACTCTGTATATCAAAAATAAAGCGATTGCGGAATCACAGCCTTAAGGGTCAGCATTTTATTGTGAATATATGTCCCGACTATGTAGTAATATGTTTTCATGTTTTCTCCATAAAATATTTACACTGGATAAGCGATTTACCTAGACTTGTCTCGTATTACTTACGGATATTGTTTTCTCCATTGTCACTGTGCTCCCCTCTGTACGTTCGGAACAACAACGTCAATTTCAAAATTATGCCAAAAAATCGCAAGTATGGCGTCATCGTGGCACGCTCAAATCCAAGATGCCGCCGCACTGGCTCAATCAGCAAATTGCTCGCGTAATATTGGAGGCTATAATTTTTTTTATTTTGAAAAATGCGAAAGGCATGCAGTCCCACGCCATACGTCAGAGGCGGGACATCGGACCATATTCACCTGTTTTGCAAATTCAATACGTACAAAAGGTTGCAAGAAAAATTTAAACATTTTTTTAACAATTTTTCAACGTGCAACGTGTACTTTTCAACAGTTCCGCTATTTTTTTGGGATTCGAGAAACTTTTAGATAGAATTTAAATATATTTTTGAGATATACTCATATTGGGCGTTTAAAACAAGACTTTCACTTGATTTCTTAACTGTATTCAGCGACAAACATTATAAGTTAAATTTACTTTAAATTGCGAACAGGAGTTGAAACATCAAATAAAACACAAAATTTTGTTTTCTAGAGCGATTCACTTTTTAAGTATTTATAGAGAAAAACGCTGTTTTTTCAAAGTGGGTAGTTGAAAAAAATATTGAAACGCCGCTTCGCATACCTACGACATTACGTTAGCATCTAATTAACAATTTCCTGGTTATATTAAAACCTTTTATTGTTTAATGCAACGTTAACCGCTACGTGGGTTTACCAGATATGCGCCGACATGATTTGTCTACATGAGCAATATTTTTAAGTGTTCTATTTGCGCACTCTTGACACTGGAAACCAAGAAACGATCGAACAGCCTAAACTCTAACTAATTTCTTTCAGAAATATTCGTTGATTTCTTAAACAGCCGTTTTACAGGTTGATTATTGAACTTACTTTATTATACTTCGATAATATGAAGGTCCATCAGCAAGGCGTACGTTTAGGGATGTAGTAAGAGATAAGAAAACAAGTGTGAAAAAATAATGAGACACCTTATATATCAGCTTCAGAGGAGCCTTTTTTTCAAATAAAGGCAAACGTAGGCACAATATGTATTTTATTCGTATATCATCGTCATGTTTCATTAAATAAAGGCGCTCCCCCAAAGAGCGGCTCTTACAACTTTGCCCTTTGTAAAATTATTTGTGTTATTTATTTATAATGTTATCTAAAATTGTGGAGTCTTACGGACAAATAATGTGATTATATCCTATTTTAAAAAACGATGAAATGAATATAGCAAAAAAACATGTTTTTGTTAAACAAAAGATGCTACCATGCAATTTAACTAAAGCTGAGAACTAAAAAGACAATAGTCTGACGTCAACCAATTTAGACGTTTTAAAGATGATGTTTAAAGTAAAAAAAACTCAAAATAAATCTTTGGGCAGCTTCGGAATTATTTAAATTACAAAGGGCTAAACCAACGCTCTGTCCAATAGAGGATGATTTAAGATTCTGATAAAGCTGCAAATTCAAAAAACTGCTTTTAAGAAACTGGTAAAAAAAGAATGTATTGGCAATAATAGGACTAAACTCATTTTTCAAAAACCTAAGGGTGGTCAGTTTTTTTTTTTGCGGACGATGCGCAATCACATTTCAATAAATTTTTTACGTTATTACAGATTTCCCAGCCAAAATCTAACCCCCAAAACACCGGTCGGATACACTCGGTTTACCAAGGACCACAGCAGATTCCTCAGAATCAGGAAATTGCTCAAATATTGCAGGGACAAGTACAACTTCCCTCCGAAGCGGACTTCCTCCGCCCGATGGTGGCCGATTCATTAAACGGTGGGAGAGGTCAATACGCACCCGTACAGTCTATACAACCCTACTTAATGGTGCAAGGGCAAACGGGTTGGATACCCAGACAGCCACAGATGGGGTCACCTGTTGTGCAGCAGATGCAGGTGCCGTTGTATCCAGGTAACTCCCAAATAATGTTGTGTGGTGCGAGTAGTTGTGGCTCCTTTCTGGCACTAATGGGCAGTGACCTCGAATTCAAAGAAATCTTCAACAAAATATTCGAATGAATGCAACTACTATAAGTCCCATTAGTTTGTCAGTATGCGTTTTAGTAAATTTAAAAAGAAAATAAATTCGCATCGTAAACTCTATTTTTTGCCATCTACTCTTCATATAGGGCTTTCGTCAGATTTTCAAAAAATTTGGGTTTAAAAATAATAATAACAAAAATGTAATATATTTACAATAATGTTCAACGTATATGTCTCTACCTATCTATCTATCCATCTATTTAGTGCCCCTCTATATATGTGCCCACATTGAAGAAACTGAGAGAAAATATTCTAAATAGGTAGGTATGGTCTGTTCATAGATATAAGAAAGTGACCAAGTGCTTTTGAATGGGATTATCCAAGGGTGGTCATTAACATACAATGCAACAAGATTATTATCTAAAGTTTCGGAATTTAAATTCAGGTAAAATTGTGGTCCGTAATAAAAAATAATTTTATACCTACCTGTGCTTAATATTCTTTGGTTTGCTATAGTTTAAGTTTATTAGTAATCATTCTTACTTCGTGTGTAATACAGCGTGTGTTGAATCATGTGCGAATTATGCAAAATATGTGTGAGTATAGTGTATCTTAGGAGATGCTCCCTCCCAAATGTAGAAAACACTATTCTATTGAGACAAAGGAAGTTATAAACAATGTTCATTTGACTCTCATTGAACGTGGTGCCAGCAAGCAAGCATCATTAGAAGAAACGGCCACATTGACGAAAATTCCAACATCAACTGTATGGAAAATTGTGTATTGTGAATAAGCGATGCTGACATTTTCTCGAGTGTAGATGAAAGTGATCAAGATATAATAAGGCGTAAAATTTACCAGTTATACGAGGAACAAAGCGTGCCTACACTAGATATCTTAATTAGGAGGCTTAAAACAGATGAAACCGGTGTGAAATGGGACAGAACTACCTTATCGAAGTGTATTCAACACATGGGTTTTAGATTTAAAAAAATTGACAAAAGGCAAGTTTTAATGGAATCTTTTAGAATTCGCAAATGGCGACTCGAATATCTAGAAAAAATTAGGATTTACAGAGAACAACAAAGGCCAATTATTTACTTGGATGAAACCTGGTTCGACACTTATGATACCCCGGAAAAGGGTTGGGTTGACTCAACTGATAAGTTTAAACAAAACGCGCTATCAAAAAGAGGTAAAAGAATAACTATTTTGCATGCTGGCTCTAACGATGGTTGGATTCCAAATGGACTATTTCTGTCTGCGAAAAATATTAAAGATTCTTCTCTGGATTACCATGAAGACATCACCGCAGATTTATTTCAAAGTTGGTTTAAAAACAAACTAGTGCCAAACATACCTCCTAATAGCGTCATTGTAATGGACAATGCAAGTTATCACAGTAGACAGTTGACTAAAATCCCTTCCTCATGTGACACAAACGCAACAGTCCAAAACTACATGTATAACGACATTTATTTTCATAAAGGTTATACCAAAAAGCAATTAATTGAGGTTCTACAAAGCTTGAACCTACAAAAGGAATACGTCTGTGATAATTATGCAAAAAATCTAGGTCATACAGTTTTAAGGCTTACCTTACCACTGTATATTTAATAATAATTAACTGAAATCTGCCATTCGTCGTAACAATCTTTTTCCCCGTGTTACCTCCAATGTCCTCTTATAGAAACCGAAGTTTTTAACATCCCTCCACAAAGTTGGGCAAATTCTGTTAAACACATAGAAAAGGCAGAACAATCGTGTATTGCAGGTAATATATAACAAATAATAATTAGAACAGGCGATGATAGCGATACTGATATATTATATAAATAATTTTAAGTAATTTAAGTAGGTAATAAAAATAATTTGTAATTTTATTTTAGATTTAAACATAATTACATACATAAATAAATAAATATTGTTTAATATCTTTCCTAACAAAACCCCAAATTCTAAGCAAAGTACGGACCTGTTCGGCCATATTTAATTCTTGTCCGGATCTTTCCTTAATTCGTGTCAGTTAGTCACTTTCTTATATCTATGAACAGACTTTACTATTTCATATAGTTCTGCTTATTCATTTTTATGACGAGTTTTTTGAATAGCTAAGGACTTGTATCATCAGACGATTTAGTACCCTAATCGAAATATATTTTTAAATTCGATGAAATCTTATTTTAGATTGTTTTCAGAAAAAAATAATCGTCTCTTCGAGCATAAAGACACTGGGATTCAAGTACCAGAAGTTCGAGAGATGACGTAAGACCCTTTTTAATACATCGTGGTTATTAACTACCTTAATATAACTTTAAGCTTAAGCTAGAAGTATTAATCAACGATTTTCCAGATACGATAAGTGTTAAAAACGTTTCTAATTCAATCGAGTAAAATCTCTTTGGGTATAATGCCATTGGTATTCATTGTATGGTTTTAAGTTCGCTGGAAAATAGAAACGATACAATGATATCATACTTTCTGCCTTATGGTAGAGCAACTGGTGCAACTAGCATAATTCACAAATTATTTCCATGTTTCAAAAATTTCAATTAGTATTCAATAATTGCGGTGTGTTAGAATACTCAAACAAAAGATCAGAATTGTCACTTGACTTCTAATGTTTTTAGGCAGTTACAGTATCCGGAAGCAATAAACAGAGATTACACAAAATTGTCGAATTATTATGGAGAAAATTATAGGCAGCCAATTCAACAAGATAACTGGCCGATAGGTACGAAGTAAGAAAAAAGCAAATGTATATTATTCATTTTTTTCCGTTGCAGAAAATCCTAGGTATCCCAATCACCCAAGCTACTCGGATAATAGCGAACTAGCACCATCTGGTTAGTTTTCCTGTATTTGCTATCAGTTTACTCTAATGAATCAATGTTTCAGAAAAAATCGGCGTAAATCCTCTGCCTCCTTATAAGGCCCCGGTTACTATAGTTCAAGAAAAATCCAAAGATAAACTATTGGAGACAGGTACCTAAATGCTAGACATATAGTACTAGCTTTATGCACTAGTCATTTAAACACCAGTTCTTTATATCATTTTGGGTAATTATGCGTTGTCGTGCGTTATATTGAAGGTCCAAATACTCAGCTTGTCGAAGAGCAGCTAGCGCACGACTTGATGCATTCCAAAGATAAAGATAACATGGAACGAGCGACCAGTGTATCAAAACTACCAAAGTCAAAGTCCAAATCAGACATTCCACAGCACCACCACGAACAGTTCCCCGACGTCATTTCGGTCAAGTTGGCGGACACGGAGGACACTGAAGACGGAGCGTCCTACATCCCAAAAGGCGCCATTTTGTCACTAACTTTAGGTAGTATTTATTACTTAATAGTATTACAATAATCCTTTATGTATCATTTTAAAGTTGTCATTTCTTAAACTGTTACTACAAAACTACCAGATTATTTGACAATTAAAATTGACGTGTTCTAGCCATTTTCTCGGAAGAATATGGGTTAGAAAAATAAATAAACAGATAAAAGAAGAATAAATAAATTCGCCTATTTTATTGTTAATTTAAAATTGGCACTTTTCCAATTTCAGGTCTCATAATTACTTCGGTAATGGCAGTACTAATCGGTTGTCGCCTGAGGGTTGTGCGCAGAAGAATGAAAAGAGGGGGAAAGTCATACGCCCACGACGCCGACTTTTTGGTAAACGGGATGTACTTATAAGAGACGAGTTTCAACATCCTATGAATTTGATTCTTTTTAAATTAAGTCCAAGAATGATGGCCGACAGCTAAGTAAATATTGTCGAAATTGTTTGGGCAGTATAACTATTTCAAACAAACTAGTACGGAAATTCTTATCGCAGAATCCTTAACATTACTTAAAAAACAGATGTCCCAGTAAGTCAGAAATTTTTATATATCACAAGTTGCCCATTACAGTTACAGGTATTATTTGGATATCGAGATGTAACTAGAAACTTTTTAAATGTTTTTACGCAAGACATTTCAAAAAGACAGGTCAGGTACACTTATAATTGTGTAATGACAAGATCATATAAAAGACACAGAAATTGTAGATATTAATTTTAAGAACATATTTTGTCAAAAATTTTGTACTTATTTACAACGAGGGTGCTTATTAATATTTACAAATTACGATGTTTCTTCCAATTGGAAATCAGCTAATTAGATTTTTTAAGAATCTGCTTTTATTAGCTGCCTTAAGGAAATATCTACCTACTCAAATGTACTCCATTTGTGCTTCTTAAATTATTTTGTGCGTTTTGTAACCCGCACATTTATGTCCGTCATATTTCAGATTTTGTATCATTGTTCCATCATCCTGCCACTTTTCTGTTACAATGTAGCTTGAAATTAATTTTCAATCATAGTAAACTATTTCCCTGTAAATAAAATCGAAATATTTGGGTGATAAAATGAATAACTGTAAATTTAAATTGAAGTTAATTTAGGAATAAATATTAAAAAACTTATTGTTTTTTGTTGAAACAGCTCTAATTATTGGATAACAAATATTATCTCCTTGCATTTTTGACAGGCACGATAATATTACGTTCACTTGCAACTGAGGATCAAATGAAGTAATAAAAAACAATCTTTATTTAAAGTCACTAAGCGGTATATGACACATTACAAAAGAAACTTAAACTAATATCAACAAAATACTAAAACAAAAATTGGGAACTTTTGGATCAAATCGCCCGATTCGATATTCACAATTTGTAAAAAACAGATCTACTCACAATCATTTAAACAAACAACAAATCGATAGCAACCGAATAAAGCTGATATGTGCCATCCAACTTCCAATTTATCTGCACAAACATGGCGGTCAAATATTTTTGTAATTTTTATAGAAACTACTATATATATAATTACAAATATGCAAGTTGACTATCTTACACTCCCAAATATAACATATTTACAAGTGTTACAAATCTAGAGCTGGTTTTGTACTGCTATTTATTTATCTATAGATATTATCTAAGGATTTACTGCATCGAAAACGCGTTTGAACCACTAACAAATGGATATTCCTGGTTAGATCGAAATCTCTCCCAAACATGATATAGAATCACAGGCACCATTGGTAGTTCAAATGCTTTACCAGTATCGCCATATATTTGCTTAGAGTTGCTCCTTTGTCAAAAACTAAGTCATATCAAAAGGCTTGAACTATTCAGTTTAAGCCCCTTTACTCAAATACACATTAAGTAACAATTTCTTTGGAACTGAGGGACAATTATTCAGCAAGAAGGATAAATCCATTGCACAGTCATTGATGAGTTTAGAGACCCAGAGATTAGGAGATATTCACATACGACTTCACATGGAATTCGAAGTGGCATTAGCCTGTGCTAACGTTCGACACTGCTGTTCAAGCCTTTCCACGTGAGCAAACAAGTAAGTGTTTTCCACATACAAGTCTTTAACAAAAAGGTCATTTTTGTGCAACCGATCCAGCTGTTCGCTACATATTCGCATTTGCTCATTGAGTTTCTCTTGACAATACTGAAGTTTTGCTTCCAAATCAGATTTCTCACCTCTGAACATATGCCAATAAGCTGTAAAACAAAAATTAAATTTTAATAATAAACTATATAAAACAAGCATTTTTTTAAATTGGAAAATAACCTATCAACATGTTTTTTTCCCAATTTTTCATGTCCATTTCGAAAACACATATGAAGAAACACATGTTAAGTATGTATTCAGTAACAACCGATATTCTCTAACAACTTAAAAATGATTTTTTTTAATTTTTCAACGAAACTTCCACAGGCTACTGTAATATTTTTTACAAAACTTCTGGATTCCTCCTGTGTCGGTTTTTGCTGAGTCGAACTTGCTGACGTTTCGCCAATCATCGTGTTGGCTTCAGTTTCAGTCAAGCTCTGAAGAAGCCAACAGGATGATTGGCGAAACGTCAGCAAGTTCGACTCAGCAAAAACCGACACAGGAGGAATCCAGAAGTTGTGAAAATAGTATTTATTTATTCTTCAAGATATGCTCTTTAAATTGAAGTAAATATACTTACATTGCAAGGTGTGTTCATTCCGGAAATGCTGCTGTTTCATACACATCTGCAAATGTCTAAGCCTGAGTTCCAAGTAATGGTTTCTGCTCAGCAGGTGATTAAAGGTGCTGACGGCCACCGCGACTGTCTGTTCGCTATTCTCCTGGCCTTGCAACACTTTCGATTCCATAGGATGCTGCTGATGCCTAGTAACTTCCGACTTTCTCGCGTTCTTCTCTTGACTATTTTTCTTGTAAATGTTCTTTTCGTGTTTCCTACTGCGTTTCGGTCGGCAAGGTGTCGAATTTTGGCTCGACGATGTCGAAGGCACCACACCCAGCGAGTTGTTCTGCCTTGAGGTTTCTATAGTAACATTCCAAGCGGCTGGTAGCGAGCTAGCCGTAGAACATTCGGCCTCCGACTTAGTCGTTTGTGTACTTTGTCTGTCCCAAATATCGTTACTGTCTTGAGCGACCATTTCTTCAGGGAGCCGGCTCATAGTTTCCACTACAATTGACAGTTTCTTCATTTTGTTATTCACCCGATCTTGTTCTAAATTGAAATGGGTCTGTACCGACGCTTCGGCAGCTTCCTTCTGTTTCACAGCTAATTCTGTTAGTTTCTCCTTCAAGATTTTGATCTCTTCGTCTTTCTTGAACATTTCGACCTCATGGTAGATTTTGTAAGTCTCAAACTCTTGCTCCAGATCGGTGAATTGTTTCTCGAGCGATTCCGCTTCTATGATAGGCGGCAATCGATTATCTATCATATCTTGGTTTGCATACTGTTCTTCATACTCTTTCATTTTGATCAGCACTTCATTTAGCTTTTCCCCGCTTATTTTCTGTTCGATTTCGAAGAACTGTCTCTCTTCATCGACCTTATTTTGCCAATAGTCTTCGCATTTTTCATATTCATTCTTTAAAAGTTCAATACAATCCTCTAATTCAGTACATTTTTCGCGGAGAACTCGATTCTCATCTTCCATAATTTTTACCCTTTCTTCTACAAATGTTATATCGAAATCTGTTTGGATAGATTGATCGAAAACCTCTTTCTCTTTTAGATTAGTATTTTGAAGCCTGTCAATAGCTGTTTGTTCCAATCTCTGGCACAATTCTTTTAGTCTGTCGCATTTGACACAGTCCTTGTTGATCATATTATCAATTTCTTTTCTTGCATTTTCGATTATTGTTTCCAATTCTTTCACTCTTCCGGTTAGTTGCATGATATATTCGGTATTCGTTTCAGTTTCCTGTCAACACGAAAATAAGTTGTTAACAATCTTCGTAATTGAATAACTTTTAGTCTTTAATGAAATGTATCAGATTTAGGCAGCCACCGTTACCCAAATAATGTAGGTTCCGACCCGTCGCATGATTCGAGAATTTACTGTAAAAGTCTCGATATCCATTTTCAAGAAATGTTGACGGCAGTAAGATGCGACAACATCTACTGAAAATGACTGCCTCCAGTGGAGTCGGAATATCAATAAACCTTAAGACCCACGGTATACGCTCCTCTTTAATGTTTAATGCAATACGTAATCTACCAAACTATAAAAATCGAAGTATACATCGTTATTGATTTACGGTATACTATACGGAACAATGTGGAAAAAACAAGACCGTCATATTGTGCAGGTCGCCGCCAAAATATTATTTTTCTCGAATGGAATTAACTGTAAAATATAACCATTTTAGGATTTTACAAATTGGTTTATTTGTTTTACTTTGCCTATTCTAACAAATCTGAAAGAAATTATTTTTTTTATAATAATCTGCATTTTGGTAAAATTTATCCAAATCTTAATTTAAAATAAAATTTATTGATACCTTGATATACTTTGATTTAATGTTTGGGACCAACTTGTATAATAAAATAACATAACGTAAACCTTTCTATTATGGTCATAATATTCTGTGCCTTATACAATCCTGTATATTACTTTTGTCTATTGAGATTCTTGAAAACTCTGCGGAAGTTCTCGGATAACAATTTTATTCGATTACCCCGGTAAAACGAAAATCTGTAACACCATGTTTATATCAGAAATTGACGGCTATTTTTTTTGCCAACAAATATGAATCAATTCAGTTTCCACACATTTTCAGATCTTGTGCGGCGTGCGCTTGTAGGCAATTGTTACAACAGTCGTATAAAACGTTATTTATTTCTATTTTTTGTTGCTTGTGGTTATTTGAATCGAACAGTACTTACCAACAACAATAACATCTGAATTTCGAAATACATTGAGGATTTCTGTGGGGCATCGACAATTGTATTAGAATACCACCGACTTTGTATTATAAAAGGTGTAAAGCGAAATATATATATAAAGAACGATTTTTCTACTATTCGGCGTGAAACTCACCCACATTAAATGAGACTGTGTGCGTTGTCTACCTTCCGTGCTCTCTGTATAACACTGTGCATGGGTGCGGACATATAAACTAAACGCAAACGCAGAAAAAACGCAAGCTTCTCCATAAATAAAACAAAAAAATTTTGAAAATGCAATTTATTTAGACATGGTAAAGTGGTACAAAAATATAAATAAATAAGCTATCTTTTGCGCTATGGAGAAGCTTTGGAACGATAGCACCAGACAGCAACAAAATAAATAACGAATAAATAAAATGTAATAATCAAATACTGTCAACTAATACTGTCAATCGGAAAGTTCACAAGGAAATTGAATGCTAAATATCCTTAGCTTCTCCTGAGATTTTTAGGGCTCCCAATACTTAAAATATGATTGTTTGGTTCAACCGAACTATTTTGGGCACGTAGGAACCTTAAAAATATACAAAATAAAAAACCAAAAGCTTCTAGTGCAATCATTCTATAAACTATTAAATAAAAAAAAAACAAACCCAACCTTTCTAAGCTAAACTAAAACCAAAACACAGTAAACCCAATAACAATAATTCTGGAAGGCGTCTATGGTAGTACGATTTCTAAACTATAAGGGTGGTGTGGATAATTTTCGACGAGTATATAATGAAAAACCTACGCCTTATTTTACCTCGCTGCGCTGCAATTGAATCTAATCGACAGATAAGAGACAGAGATTCAAGTATGTCTAATAACGTTCACCAACGATAAGAAAATAGATACGTCTTGACATCAATTTCAAGCAGTAAAAAAATTTGCACAGGACATGAAATGAACATAGAAATTGCGATTAAATTTTAGTTTTCGGGAAAATATCACCTAAATTAACAACCTAAATATATTCTGTTATGTATGTTTATTCAAGCTTAGTTTAAGACAGGCTGGTACATAGTTCAACAATAGTGAGATATAATATGACGGTCAAAATGAAGAATAGGCAAAAAGACAGTTTTGATAGCCCATAGTTCTTTCTTTTGAAGAAATTAGAGCTTTTTTTGGAACCTGTGCAACTAACCAAGTGCCTATTCCTTATAACCAGGTGAAATTTCATTTTTTATTCAAAATGTATTAAAATTTTGTTTTAGTTGTTCGTGGAAAAAAAATACAAACGAAAGGTTCCCAATTATTAATAAAATAATCAGGATGAGTAAATCCATGTGAAAATTTTTTTAGAGTTTTTTAGGTTTTCAATTTAGTGCAAAATTTATAATTCTTCAACCATCGCTAATCCAAATAACCCAGATACAAATCGGCCACTATCTCTCAAGCCAAGGCGCCTGTAGCTAGAAACCCATCCACACCATCTAGATTTATTCGCGCTTGGTTACACTCACTCAATCCCCACTCACCTCGTAACTGGGCACGGGGATGTTGTGCTGGACCAGTACCTGCTCGAGGAAGATAATTTTCGCGTGTAACCTGCTGATCTCGGCTTCGTTATTGTCGCAAGTGGAAGTCGACAACGAGTCGGGTTCCGTGTCAAAGCCACTCTCGCCGCTAGAAGGCGACACCTCTAGGTTGCTCTCCGGCATCTTCGGCTTGCAGAATTTACGAAGTTTGCCGAGCCGCGGGCTTCCATCGGCTACAATAATAGCAAAAACGAATTAGGAATATGATATTGGCAAAATGTGTCTCAAAGTAAATCGCCTTGGCCCGAAAAGTTACTACCTTCATACCTATTGTTACGGAGTAAACTCAACAGTTAATAGGTACGGAACAAGGCAGTGGCGAGTCAGGTAGCTTTTGACCATGTGTGAGCTATGTCCCGTCGAAATCACAAATTGTAAAAAATGTGTATGAATGTTAAATAAGTAGGAATCATTAAACAAGAAGCTTTACAAGAAACTTGCCTACTTACAAAATCGTCCATAAAGAAAAATGATAACAGTGAATTATTGAATGAAAAAAAAAAACGTCTGGACAATAGCGAACAAGATATGATAAGGAAATAGCATATTACGGAACAAGTATAGTAAACGGCACGAGCGGAGCAAGTGTTTAAAAGTTTTTCTACTCCCGTAAAATGCCAATTACACACCGACCTACCGTGCGGGAAGCGTCACTTTGCTACCTACGCCAGTTTCGTTTCCCATGGATCCGAGCCACTTTGGACAGTTTCGGGATTTTAACGCACTGGTTTGGGAGCAATCGGATGATTTCAGGGATATTTCCCACGCATTGAATTTTGACGTTTGTCAATTCTGACGGTTATATCAGTGAATGTATTCCTGTTGTTTTGCGAAAATGTACCCAAAAACTAGCGGTCGTAGAAAAAGTATAGTATGCAACACGATAAGTAAGCTTTTTGACTCACGAGTTTATTTTTATCGTTTATCGCACTTGTTGCATAATACACTATTACCAAACATGTTGCATACTATACTAAAACAATATGAATAATGAATACATTCACTGACATTCTTCTAGTGCAATCATTCTATAAACTATTAAATAAAAAAAAAACAAACCCAACCTTTCTAGGCTAAACTAAAACCAAAACACAGTAAACCCAATAACAATAATTCTGGAAGGAGTCTATGGTAGTACGATTTCTAAACTATAAGGGTGGTGTGGATAATTTTCGACGAGTATATAATGAAAAACCTACGCCTTATTTTACCTCGCTGCGCTGCAATTGAATCTAATCGATATCGATATACTAAAACAATATGAATAATGAATACATTCACTGACATGACCGTCAGAAATGACAAACGTCAAAATTTAAGCCGTAAAATCTACGAAAACATCCGATTGCTCCCAAATCAGCGAGGTAATATCCTGGAAATGTCCGAAGGGCCTCGGACCCGGGAGACAAGAAACTCACGTGGTAAAATGACGCTTCCCGCACGCTAGATCGGTGCATAATTAGGTATTTTACAGAATGTATTCTCTTTATCAAAACCAGATTGTTGTACTGTAGTAAAATAAGACTCTTAAGAGAAAAAAAAATTGTTTTGAAATTTTGGTATTGAGTTTCCAGTGAAAACCCAACTACAGATCCGAAGAGTTGAGTCCACGTGTTCAATTTTGCATAGGCATAGAATAAGTTATACTTCACTAGTAAAAAAAACGGACCGATAACTCCAATCTATCTCAAGGGTCGTGTGGAAACGAGTTCAAAATACACATTCACAGGTATAAAAAATTATCATATAATCATTAACACTTGCTGATTGCTATTTTCTTTTATGTGGACCTAGTAGAGAAAGAAATTCTCTATCCATTGCTTCTATGGTATTTTGATAATTGCCGTCAAAAGCCAAGACATACTTTGAGACAAAGTATACAGTAACATTAAAACAATTTCAAGGATCTGTCATATATTTAAAATTGCTCAACAGGTAAATATTAAAATATGTAAATCAAAATTTTGTATATATGTATGTATATTTTCTATTTTCTTTTTTTGAATATTTTTGGTGTGACTCTTTGGCAAAACTAAAGAAACTAAAGAATTTGACCGATCAATCGAGTCTTTCATAGTTAGCAAGGAAGGAAACTTCTAAAAAAAAATTGTAATTTTTAAGAGTGATTTAGGGTAAGTCTGAGAATGTCTGCGTTAATTTTTTAAAGCAACTTCCACAGGCTACTGTAATACTTCTTATAAAAAAGAAGGTTTGGGTCCAGATTTTCGGATTTTAATATATATTCTCACTTTAATTGAAAAATGCTTGTCTGGAACATATTTTTCTTATAACGGTCATAATATATTATGCAACAAGTGCGGTAAACGGCGGAGCGAGTGTTTAATAAACGAATGAGTTAAAAAGTTTACTGAACGTGTTGCATACTATACTTTTTCCACGACCGTTAGTTTTTGGATACTTTTTCGCAAAACAACACGAATACATTCACTGACATGACAGTCAGAATTGACAAACGTCAAAATTCAAAGCGTGGGAAATATCTCCGAAAACATCCGATTGGTCCCAAACCCGGGCGGTAAAATCCCGGAAATTACCGAAGTGGCTAGGATTCGTAGGAAACGACACTTACGTGGTAAAGTGGCGTTTCCCGCACGCTTGATCGGTGTGTAATTAGGTATTTTACAGATGGGAATAGAAAAAAAAAGAAACTTGGGAAACGCGAGAATCGGGGACATGACTGGAACATCCCACATAAGCGGAACTGCTTAGCGCGATTTTTTTTTAAAGAATATTTGTAGTATGTGTGTAAATAAATTTAGCCTCTAGTGACTTTTAATGATTATTTTGGACGAAATCAATTTTCCGTTTTGCTAAGTTTTACGTGTAGTGACTTGTTTTAACTTCAATGTGGCGTTTCACGAATCCGAACGATTTTAGTTGGTTTAAAGTCAAGTTCAAAGTATTTTAAAAAGCGCAAAATACGATGAGCAAAACTGAGAAAATGAGTACAGCAGTTTTGAAAAATTGCTCGTTGCCAAATAAATACAGGTTTTTCGAAGTTAGGTTAAGTTTTTTAAGTTTAGTCCCAGTCAACGGGTAAGATAATCACGGAACGCGATTTTTTCAGCTAAATATTAGTGTTACAAAGCTGTCTGGCTATACACTTACAGGGTTTACTATAAATAGATGTAGATATATGAACAAATACTAAAGTTGTAAGGTTTGTGCTGAACCACTAGTGTTTTTTTAACACGTTTTTGTTGTGAACAAAAACGCATCGTCACCACCGGGTATAATTACACCATACAAAATTATGCAATACGTAGGCAGAAGAACGTAGCTAGATGTAGATATTCCTAAGGTAATGTAGGAAGGCACTTTCGAATTAGATGAACAATAGTTATCCGCCTATCAAGGATAATAATAAACGTGGGTTTGAAAATCCCAAATCGATTTTTGTCGTAATGTTCGCAAGGTATGTTTATTTATCGTCCGGATGCGAAAAATAGGTCGGTATTGATTTTTATTCCGTGCCTGTCGCCCGAACGACAATTCGAATGAAAGAAAAACACCCTTCGGAATTAATCAATAAATTTTCGAGTAATTTAGGTTTTATTTATTATTACTAAACCTTTCGCAAATAATATTTCCCCTCATGTACAATCTACTTATTTAGAATAGGTATTATTGCATTGAATGTTTATTAAACTAATGCGCCAGGTAAAGTGTTGTCTACTTGGTTTCTTAAGCTATGATTTTACACATTGAACCTGGCACATGGAGAATGAATATCGCGGAATATGTTGATCAATTTGGATACAAATGTATTACAGAATGTCTAAATATTTTTGGTTACTTTTTATATTTATATTTTAAAATATGGATCAGGGTCAAAAACAATACCATGAAGAAAGAATGAAATAAAGTAAAATAACTGAATTAAAAAAAAAGCTAGACAGAGGTAAGCACAAAAACTTAACATTAAAATAATGCCAACAAAAAGAGCGCAGTTTAATTTCCAGTGAGTACAAGATTTTTTTAATGAATCAATTCTTCCGGACAAAAATATAACTTTAGAGAGTTTTCCACTTAGTTTGTTAGCGTATACTATTACCAATAAGAAACACCATTTTACGCTGCAAAAATCGCTCACAATGTAATAAAATACACTCGCGGACTACCATCCACTACGCAAGTCCATCCGCGGAATGCACAATGTGCACTAAAAATAGGAAATTTCTGTCTTTTAAAACCAAACCGAATATTTTCGCGAGACCGCGAAACGATTGTGTGCACACTTACACGCAGGTAGAATGCGCCCACACACATGGTGAAAAAACAACTTTATTAGCAAGGGACTAATTGCTTCAGACAGCGCGAGATGTCGTAGGCAAATACCATACGTGGGACGCTGCTTCTTATCACAATCATCACAAATTCGACAAGACATAAATTTATGACATTAAAGTAAGCAGTGTGCGGAACATTCTCGTTATGCATGTTTTGTAACTTTGTATTTTTCTACGGATCTGAAATTAGAGCATTATACCAACAAATTTTGAGATGTAGGAAACTTATCTAAAAGACTGGTCGTTCTTCGTTCTGTTTAAAATTTAAGAATACTTACTATACAATTTCATTATTTATTATTATTATTCAATACTGAGTACTGGTTGTTCAGGAAAAGAATAGTGATATCCAAGTCGAACTTGCAACACATTTTCGTAGTAAATATTTTAAAGAAATAGTTTCTGTCTGTTATAATTAGTCGTGACACGATTAATCTTTGTCAGGGTGCCATCAAAACGGATAAACAATATTTTGTTTTTCAAACATAATGATGGTAATTACTAAATTATAATTTTGAATAATAAACTCTAGTAAAACCCACAAACTATATATATTTTTTAAATCAGGTTAAAAAGGTCCTTCATTTTGAGTAAGAATGTGCGGCACTCATACAACTTTTATGTAATAAGTTTTTTCCTACATCCTAAATTCAATAGTATTCTGTAATTAATTATAAAGAGTAGGAAATTTCTCTTTTGCAATACACATTATTAAACCTTTTTTATAGTCTTTTTTTCTCTTTTTTATTATTCAACTGACCGCTTTTAAACAACATAGCATTCTCAACCCAAAAATATTTTTCACTCTTAATTTCAACCGCAATTGTTGCAAAAGTAATTTTATTTTAACATACACTGAATCA